TCTTGGTAGTAACGTCTTGCATCCAAATGCTATCTTCATATGTGTATAGAGAGCTGTCCACATGTGTATCCTTAAACAGAAGTGAAATGAGAGGGCCACATCCATCCAATAAACAAATGCAATTCCTTTTATAGAGAAATTTGCCCAGGAAATTTGTGGAGAATCAATCTGTATTAATCTTTAGGGACCTAAAGCAGCAGCCCTGTGCCTGGAAATGTCTGCCTGTGTCTCTGCTGCCCTGGAATGCTGGAAGGGCCTACTGCTACTGTTCTTCCACCTAACAAATGAACTCATCGGCCTGATTCACTTCACTGGGCAGGTGGAGGCTAGATGTGATCTACCAAGCACTCTGGGCAAGAGCCTTAAGAAAGAAGTCCAAATATACTGATGCTTCTTTTAAATTGCCAATCTCCAAAGAGAAATCATGGCAAGGCTCATAGGAACAGAACCCGAAGCCTGCAGAATGAGTTTGCATCCTAGCTTTTCCCTCCCACTGTTGCAGCAACAAATCAGGTGCCCTGGAGCACTGTGCTGAAATGAAACATATCTTCAGAGTCAAGGGGCCAAATGGAATGTTTTACTGCATCAAATAAGGCCCAATAATGGCCACGGGCACTTTCAAATAGCCATAAAACATCTAGGCCACAAGGCAGGGCTTGTAGGCTCAACATTTCCCAAAGCAAACTCTTTACAGGGGAAAGCATCCTAACCCTGTAGTCTTAGACAGTGGCTGGCTGACTCTTCTAACTGGACCTACCAGAAACAAGTAAGAAAACCAGAGCCCTCGGCAGTCACAGAACTCTTGGAAACTCATGTGTGTTAGGAATGGCTTTTAGGAGTGAGCCCACAGGATAGTAACCAAGAAAAGGACTCTGTCTTTAAATCTTATTTTATATATATACAAGAATGTTTAGCCTTTATGTGTGTCTATGTACTACATATGTGCCCAGTGCCCAAGGAAGTCTGAAGAGGATAGCAGATCCTCTGAACTATAGTTACAGATGGTTTTGAGCCACTATGTAGGTGCTGGAAACCAAATCTGGGTCCTCTGAAACAGCAGCCAGTGCTCTTAAATGCTGAACCATCACTCTAGCCCAAAGAGGAGCTCTTTTAAGACCAGCTCTCAAGCTGGGAGTGGTGGTACATGACTTTAACCCGAGCACACAGGAGGCAGAGGCAAGTGGATCTCTGTGAGTTTGAAGCCAGCCTGGTCTACAGAGTGAGCTCCAAGACAGCCAGGGGTATGTAGAAAAACCCTGTCTCAAAAGACAAAACAGACTAGCTCTTAAGGCTTCTGTGTGTTTCCATGGAGCCTGGGAGCTGAAAGGGTCCTGGGTCAATGCAGTTCCTTCAGGGTGTTCACATCTGGACTCGCTGCTAATCCCACCTCAGTCCTCTCTTCCTCTTCCCTGACTGCAATAAAGGATGGTCCTAGAATCTGAGGAGCCAGTATGCTGGCTTTTATGTCAGAACTGAAGATGTTGTACCAGATAATACCTGATTTCTAAAGCAATCAGGGTCACTCGGCCCACAGGTTTACAATGAAGACTAGATATATGAACTGCGAATTAAACTTCTCAGCAGCAATCTCTGAGACTGGCCATGTACATCAGAGGTAACCAGGGAGGCCCTGGTTACTTGTTTTAATTGAGGGAGATACCTTTCACGCATATTCAGTTTCTCCCTGTGATTTACCACTTCTCCGGGTGCCCGAAATGTTCTATTTCATTTCACAAGCCCTGAATCTCCAAGGGGACTCTGCAGAAATTGAAGATGACATTAGACTTTTCTGTCTTCCTGATCCAGAGAGGCAGCTGGGCTCCCCATAAACGTCAAAGCTCTGCCTCTCCTGCTCCTCCACAGTGGGAAATGCAGTCAAAACCATCTATAAATGAAGTAACCTTTCTCAGCTTCACAACCCCCATAATTTCTCATCTGTCCATTTCCTTGGAAATCCTCTGCTCCACTAGAGGTTATAGGCATGAAAAGGATGACTGTCTGTTGGCTCTTGGATCAACTCCAGATCAGGAGACTGAATTAACAATGTTGAGAGTGGTCTGGAGAGATGCCTCCGAGATTAAGAGTGGTGACTGTTCCTCCAGGACCGCAGTTCAATTCCCAGCATACACTCACATGGCAGCTCATAACTGTCTGTAACTCCAGTTCTAGGGGACTGGACCCCCGACCCCCCCCCCAATACATGGAACAAAAACACCAATGTATACAAAGTAAAAATAAAGAACCTTGAGAGAAGGCCAGGATGGCCCTGAAGTGTACCTGCTCCAAGGTGTTCTCACCTCTGGAGTACGGTGGCTGAGCTAACTCACTCCTGGCTATCAAGGTCCCCAGAACACCATGGCTCTGAAGTGCAAACACTCAGGCCTGAGGTGCCCTGTGTGCTCATTCTGCTGGATTGCTGGGTTCCCTCTGTAACTCAGGGTTCTGATGCCAGGACATGTGTCACTCCCCCTGAGAATGAAGTGACTCCTGGTTCCCCAGGGCAGCTTGCTGACCACCCTGCCACACCAGTTGTACTGATCACCAGAAGACCAGGGTTCAATTCCCAGAACCCATACGGTAACTCACAAACATCTGTAACTCTAATTCCAGAGAATCTGGCATTAGGACGTGTGGCCTTGTTGGAGTGGGTGTGGCTTTGTTGGATGAAGTGTGTCACTTGGGGGTGGACATTTAGAGTTTTAAATGCTCAAGCCAGGCACAGTGCTATCTGCTGAAATGTACAACTGTCAGCTACCTCTCCAGCACCATGTCTGCTTGTGTGCCACCATGTTTCCTGCCACAATGATTGCGAGCTAACTAAACCTCTGAAAGTAAGCAAGCCCCAATTAAAATGTTTCCTACGAGTTGCCATGGTCATGGCATCACTTCATAGCAATAGAACCCTTCTCTAAGCAATCTCCCATCCCCAATGTCAAAACGGAGCTCTTCCCTTGAACAATAGGTACACACACTTCCAAAGCCAGAAGGGACACTTTTCTGCTAGGCTAGCATTGGCTCAGACAGTAGTGGGAATGACTTGAGAGCCACCTCTACACAGGCAGGTGACCACCAGTCATGAGCACTGGCCACTAGTCATACGGGACTGCCACTACCTAGGTAAATGAAACATTCCTCAGACTTCCTGTACAGCAAACCCACCAGTATTTAGTCTAAAATTGCTGAGAATAATTTGCATCGTATTTAAAGACAAATTCTTGCTTTTAGAAACCCTTGGTTATCAGAATTCTTAATTAAATAGAGCCTAGCAACCTGTTTTGAAAACAATGTCACATTAAGCCATTCTGTGAGTGAGTGAATGAATGAATGCATGAACAAACAGATGTTTCCAAATACAATCACTTGCTACTTGCTGATTGGGCCATGCTGTGAGAGATGTGTTGGTAGATGATCTTATCACTAAGGGAAAATCATAGGCCAAGACGGCTGTGATGCCACTGGGTAATACAAACTTAAAGACCCACCACTGTGCACTCAATCTGTCATTGGGTACATGCCATTATGAGGCTATATGTCTAGAAACAATACAAAGCTGACTAAAAAGGAAACTTCCCTTGTTTATAACAACTCAGTGAGAACTGACGATCAAACTTAGGACCCTGAAGAATGCAAATATTCTATATCACACAACACAAAAAGATGAGCCCACATTCCAATGAAACTGCCTAATTATATGCAGGGAACATCTGATGCATGAGGTAAAACAAATCAAGATTTTCTGCTTGCCCTGCACTAACCAGAGTGCATGGAACACCACAGATCTACTTGGGCACTCTGGTGCCTCGGGGTTACCACTTGGGTAGAGAGTCACCTGCCCACCCTTTCCAATATCCTGCTTAGAGCACACACTGCATGATGTCAGTGTAACAACACCAAAGTGGGCACGAAGCTGAAAAAAATAGAAGTCCATTCACTCAGTCAGGCTCAAATGACAGACATGGGTTCCTGGGGCCACTGTGAGCCCTCATTCATCTGATAAAAGATCTACCTGGGACTTCACAGCTAACCTCCTTTGTGGGAATATGAGCAAATAGAAATGTCCTGGGCAGAGTTTAGAGTTTCTTTACTTTACTGCAGTGAGGATGCTAAGGATATAGCCTATTCCTCTGTCAGAAGTGTCAGAGGTATACTGAATGGATATGACTGGGGATCAGGCAGTAATGGAAGGAGGGTAACATTTTAATATTGGGCATGATAATATTCTACTGCCTAGGCATACTGAAAGAATAATCTGTAATGCTTTAATTAGTTGACTCATCACAAATGCTGCTAACTCATCTCCTGGGTGTCTGCAATGGGACGGTTGCAGACGAGCTCATCCATGCACAGCTCCTTCCATGCAGTAGGGGACAGAAGCCAAAGTGGCCTTTAGAACAGCCATGGGACAGCCAACTCACTGCAGCTGGCTTTAAGATGCACCAGTGTTCTGTTTGCTGCCCTAGGAGAGAAAAGGGATGTGCAGAGAATGGGAAGCTTGAGGAAAAAATGAGAATGAGTGACCCACGCCCAGAAGCCACCAGCTGTGGTAAGTTTGCAGAGCGTACCACTACAGGGTAGGAGTCATCTTGTACAAGAGACATCAGTCTTAAAAGCATCAGAACCGACTCCCACTCCCATGCTAGAGTTATCTATCAAAGGAGTATACCACCAAGAAGACAAAGGACTTAGATTTGACTGGAAAGAGAGCCATGACTTTGCCCAACCCAACCAGTGACATAAGGTAGACAAAGCAACTGGTCCTGCAGCCCCATGACATGCTCTTCAGAATGAGGCAGCCTTCTAGGCCCTGGAGGCTGGTCTGGGTCCCCCAGGGTGGATACCTGCTCTCACCCTCAAAGCATGCTGTGGCCAGGCCCCAGGCTTCACCTGCCCTCAGGAGGGCTCCAAGTGGCCCGAGGACAGAGACAGGCAAGCTCATGCATGGGTTAGTATCACAGACGGTAGGACCATCACCACAGACAGAATACCTGGGAATAACCTACTTTGAGGACTCAAATGCAGATAGGTCTTCTGCCTTGGGCTTGAGGCTAAACGAGCAAAATAAAATGAAAAAAAACAAAGACATACCCTGTGAAATCAAAATGCCACATGTGCCATTTGCAAAATGCTCAGAGACAAGTGACCTCATGTACTGTGAAACAGCTTGAACACTGGCCTTTCTGGTTTTCAGAACTCCAGGTGTTTGTAGCTGAGAGCCCAATTGACCACAGAAGCAGTGGCACAGGAGACTGCTCAGGATGCCAGGTGACAAGGAGGCAGGATGAGGGCTCTGAAGTTACTCCCTCAGGGCTGACTGGCTCACTAGCCTAATCATGTTTTAGCTTAAGAACCTCCCTTTTAACCCCATCTCCCTCACCCCCTTTATGAGACAAGGTCTCATACAACACAGGGTGGACATGAATTTTCGTTGCAGCCCAGAATGACCTTTAACCCTCCTGCCTCCTCCTGAGTTCTGTGGGTTACCATGCCTGATTTTAAACTTCCCTTTTACATTTAATCATTTTGTTTGAAACAAGAAACCCAGAAGACAACAGGAGCCAGAGGGAAGAGGGTGTGGAGTGCGGTGATGCCTCCTCTACTTGGTGTCCACTGTAAAGTGCTAAGCAGAAGTAGGGCTCCCAACTATACAGCAGAGACAGCAGGGAGACTTAGGCTTCTTAGGATGTTCAGTGACAACTTAATCACTAAAAACAGAGACAGTCCTTGAGCTGGAGACTGCTTTACTAGAATAAAGAGTGAAACTTAACCACTTCGGCTACCATCCAATCTCAAGGAAAAGGAGTCCGGGTCTTATTCTGTAGCCCAGCCTGGCCTTAAATTTGCAATCCTCCTGCCTCTGCCTCCTGAATGCTAGCATTACCACTATGTGCTGCCATACCAATCCCTTTATAGCCCCTGTTTTATAGGGACAATCAGCTAAGCAGAGCTTTTACTTCCCAGAAAATCTTTCTGCTTTGCCCAAATAAGAGATATATACATTCTTGGGCTAATAATGAGTACTTAGTAACTTCTAAACCCCTAAAATAATGAGAGCTCTAAGTATCACGAGAGAAAAATGGGACTCTGTGAGCCTCATAAATAAGTTTCATCTTTTTAAACATTAAGGTTCTTCTATATACTTCCTTGTAAGTATTTAAAAAGTTGGAGATTCAAAATATGGTCTTATACAAAAGACTGGAAGGGACTCTATTCAACAGGCTCTAATTCACTGTGAGTTCTCATCACATGAGGTAGCTCCCTCCTTAGGCATAAGTCCCCTTGGCTTTAAAGACAGAATCACTTTAGTGCTCAGTGATAGATTAAAACCCAGCCTCAAACAAGGATTCATCTCATCAGAGCTTTTAACATAAGCTCCACTTCCGTCATGGTCACTGGCAGATTAAATTCTCTTTCTGTCAGGAGTTTAAAAATTCCCTTAACTAAGTACATGTTAAAAAAAAAAAAAAAGCCAACAGGCAACAGTTCAATGACTGGGCTCCTGAGGAAACTAGATGCCAATCTCACATTTCATTAATAAGTGTCCTGTTCAGCAAAACCCAGGAGACTCCAGGTACCTTTTTAATGGTATTATGCTTGCTACTGGTGCCACCTCTGTCTGAGTTCTCGTTGTGCAGGATGTCCAAGGCTGTCTCCCTTTCTTTGAGTTTCAAGGCCTCAATTTCTGTCTTGAGTTCATTGAGCTGTTCTTGCAGATGCTTGCTCTTCTCCATGTATTCCACTCTGTGGCAAGAAGAAACCATACATCATGGCTGGACAGAGATGAGCCATAACTTACACGCTGTTCAGAGTGGCAGCCAGGAGCTGAAGCCTGGGCTTCACACCCGAGCCTGGCCACTCAGAAGCCAAGGGAGCCTCGGATGTCTACTGAGTGTTATGAATCTCTTTTCCTACCAGCTCAGTTGGGATAATAATTATAGGGCCTCTGGTCAGGAAGAAATAAAGTATAGGGAGAAAGCTCTGTATAAACTTTCAGAGTGCTCTACAAATAACCCTGCCAAAGAGTTTTTGGATCTATATGAAAAATCACACCACACAAGCCTCCTGAGCCCCAGATACTCTTCTGCTTCCACCCTTCATAAAGCAGTGAACCAAGTCATCTCTGCCAGTAGCCACGTCTACTTTCCACTTATTCTGAAACCGTCAAAAAGATGGCAGACAGTCACTCAGCCAGCATCAGGAAGAAATAGATCCCCACTTTCACCTGAAGAGGTTGAAGCCTTTAACTAAAAACAGTATAAACAGAAAACTATTTAACACTAATATATAAACATTTTGAAGGAATTATTACAGCTGTTGATGGGCTCTGTCAGCCTGTACAGAAAAAAGGTGCCACGGGCTGAATGTCTGTGTCACCTCCACTCACATGCTGCAGGCAACTCACCAGTGTTGAGATGAAGCCCTGGGAAGTGATTATGTTATCAGCCCATAATGGGATTTATATCCTTTAAAAATAAAATAAAAAATAAAGAAGAAGAAGAAGAAGGAGGAGGAGGAGGAGGAGGAGGAGGAGGAGGAGGAGGAGGAAGAGGAGGAGAAGGAGGAGGAGGAGGAGGAGAAGAAGATGACCACCCCCAATGGCAAATACAAGCACACAGTGAGAAGTTGCCATCTATAAACCAGGAAGAACACTCTCATTAAACTCTGAGTTGACAATGCCTTGATCTTGGATTTCTAAGTCTCCAGAACTATGAGAAGTAAATTTCTGTTGTTTATAAGCTTTCCAGTCCCTGGTACTTTGTTATTATAGCCAAATACATTGAGACAGTAAGAAAATACAAACTATAAAAAACCAAGACCCAGAACAGGATGTGGCCTTATGCTGATCACAACCACATAAACACATCCATCTGGACGATGAGAAAGGAGCTCAGATGGATACTCAGAGCAATAGCTCTGTATCACCAGCTTCTTAGCTGTTCTCTCAGTAGGAGGGATCAAAGGAGGTTTGCCTGGTTCATGATGGTTCATGCTGGCCTCAAGAGCTATTCTGAGAGTAGTACAGTGAGTAAGGGGTTTCAATCCTTGTCCTGTTTATCAGCTATGTGATGCTGGATGAACTCATCAAACTAAGTCCATTCTCTATTATATAACTAGAACACTAAAATGTTTTTTGGAGACTGTCTTCAATGCAGTCCCGGCCAGACTTGAATCTGCTATGTAGCTAAAGATAATCTGGAAATTCTGATCCTCCTACCTCTACTTCCTGAGTACTAAGATTCCTGGTGTATGCCACCATATACTGTGTTAGAGACTGAACCCAGGGCTTCGTGTACGTTAGATAAGCACCCTATGAACTAAGTTATATTCCAAGTTCCCAAAACCTTCTTTTGATGCCAGTGGGATGTTTGTTAATTAGTGTGAATGAGACAAACACTAAAAAGCTATGACACACAGCTGTCAATCCATGGCGTCACTGTGATTTTTGCCAACTGTAGCACTATTAACCAGTTTACTTCTGGCTCAAGAAATGAGAGTGATTTTACTTAAGATTTCACCTACAAAGCCAGGCAGTGGTGGCGCACGCCTTTAATCCCAGCACTTGGGAGGCAGAGGCAGGCGGATTTCTGAGTTCGAGGCCAGCCTGGTCTACAGAGTGAGTTCCAGAACAGCCAGGGCTACACAGAGAAACCCTATCTTGGGAAAAAAGAAAGAAAGAAGGAAAGAAAGGAAGGGAGGGAGGGAGGAAAATAGATAGATAGATAGATAGATAGATAGATAGATAGATAGATAGATTTCATCTATAATGGGACTCCTCTTCTCTGCTCCACTTCTGCTGACCACAAAGTGAACGGAGGGCATGTAACAGAAGTGGCTGTGGTCTGGCTGGGCAGAAGTTCCACTCAGGGTTGCCAGCATAGGATAACTGGTCTCCCATGATCCCTAGCTTTGCTCAGCCTAGGAACTGTTTGTTTTTTTTTTTTTTCTTTTCCTCTTTTACCTTTGTTCTAGAACCTCTGCTGAAGAAAGAACATAACCAAAAGAAAACTGTAGTTTAAGTACTATATGAACAACACTCTAACTCGGGACTCAATACAACCCAGTCCTATTTTTCAGTCAAGGTTTGAAACATTATAAATTCCAGGCCACCATTTAATCAAGTGTTAGTTTTATCCTGGGACCCTGACTGTTGTCTTTAATTTTTAATTAGGAAATTTGTTCTCCAGTGGCTGACAACAAAGCAAACCTTTGCAGAGGCAATGACTGGCTGCTGTTATGACCTGTGCCTCCAGGCCAGATCCACTCACTCATGATCATAACTGCCCCAAGCAGGCCACAGAGGGTACATACTTTTCTTTTTCTATCTCCATGGAAAGTCGCTTCATGTCCGTATCCTTGAAGTCAAATGACAAGCTGTCACCAATAATGTCGAAGCTCGGTATGTCAGGAGGCAGTGGTGCTGGGAGTGGGTTCATGGGCTGTCAGTGAGAAAGCTCCTGTTAAGATGTTTAAATTACACAGGACAGAGCCCTCTACAGTCAAAACTGCCAGGTAAGTGGTCCCAAAGCAACCACAAACAGACAAGTCACCCTTCTCTCCTCAAATCTTATCATTTCTATGGTTCTGTGAATCAAACACAAACTTTCCCTGAGCTTTTCATTTAGGAAACTTATTTAGGCACTGGGCTAGGAGTTGGAGACACAGAGAAGACAGGCTTCCTGGCTCTAAGCAGATCAAAGTCTTGTTCAGGAAGCAGATGTGTTTGCAAATCCTCACAGTTAAGTAAGATGAACATGAGCCAGAGGAGGAACAGAGGTTTAGGAGGTTAGAGGGATCTGCTAGGGTACTGCTTCCTTGGGGATCAGTGAATGAGCCAAAAGAGAAAGGTGCCAGGCAAGAGGCATGATGGTAGGCAGGGCAGAGAGGGTCCAACAAAAGCATTGGGCATCTGAAGTGCCCCAGTTGGGCAGCTGGTAAGAAACTGGCTTTGGAGCAGAAAGACTTTGCTAGTTTGTAGGGACTTAGATTCAGAAGACAGAGCCAGGAGAGTGCTTGAAAGATGACATCAGTTGACTTGTCTTCAGGATCTTCTCACCCCAGAACAAAAGGTCACCTAACCTACAGCCCCTACCTACCCCTCTAGTGTCCCTCATTGTTTGTCCTGTTAAGTCATAAACAGTACTGCGTATTAGCTCATGTGTTATCACTTGGCATGTGTCCTTTCTTTCCCTCCCTGCTGCTCTCCCCTTTCTTCTTCCTTCCCTGTCGTTTTCTGTGATACTAGGGATGTGCCACATCGCCTGAGCTGGTCTCAAACTGGTGAGCCTTCTGTTGTAGCTTTCTGAGTGCTAAGACTACAGGAATAGGTCTTAATGCCCAGCAAGGTCTCCATTCCCCTTTCAAAGTTCTCAACTCTTTCAGTCTGTCATCAAAGCCCTTTGAGCACTCCCCCTGCCTCCACCCCACCCCTTGGCAAAATAGCTGCTCATTCCTTCTGCAGTTCTTTAGCACGATGTGCACAGTGCTGCCATAGCCCTGTCCTCAGATCCACGCTACAGACACCCTCATGGTTATATCTTTTTTCTTTCTATGTCTATGAACCTCTTGTGGGCACACTGTCTTTTTCATCATTGGCTCTTTTACTGAGTTTGGGACAGTGTTTGGAAAGGAACAGAGCCTTTCAGCTTTTGTTTATGGCAGTGAGATCTAAGGTAGGATATACGGAGTGTGTCAAGCGTGCCCCTGAGCAGGATATCTAAGTCCTACATAAACTGTTTTCAGGGCTAAATGCTGGGCAAATCAGAGTCTGGTCTGTGACACTTCATCAAGCTGGACAGTTATAATCTAGGCAGGTCTATTTACCTTATACTTTAGAACAATTCCCAGAAAGGAAGAACACTAGCTGTTACCCCTTTAATGAGAGCAGAAACTGGCATACCCTCTTTGGCAGGTGTCACAACTGAGTATCTGACCCCACAGTTCTATGAGAACTGATTCTATGAAAACTGTCACATATGTGTGCAAAAATTTGTGTTGAGGGATGTTCAGTACAGTTGTGTTCAAAACTGCTAGAGAAAACACACTAAATACCCATTTACAGGGATTGGCTAGCTGAATTACAATCCACCCATATGACATGATATGATTAAGGAACTGGTGTGTTCTCCTCTGGGACACATTGCTAAGGGAAACTGAAAAATGAAGAGCAATTTATAAAGTTTGCTCTGATAGTTGTTTGTTTTTTTTCTTTCTTTCTTTCTTTTTTTTTTTTTAGTTGTTTGTTTTAGACACATGTATTTCAGGTACACAGCCCAGGTGAGTGCTCAGACTACCACAGTCCCAGCTGTCACCTGATGGTGACCATCTGAGAGATCTTGAGAGAAGACATGAGCCTGATTAACACACCATACCTAAGAGACAAATAATGGTGTTTGGGTTATCTGTTGGCCAGGAATAAATAACAAGGACACAAGGCAATAGCAAAGCACTCACATTCCCCAAACTCAAACCTTTATGTCTCTGTGTCCTGAATGCACCTGTGCCATATATGAATGTATCATGTGTACAAATATACAGTGTGTTTGTCATGTACATGACTATTCAGTATACGTGTAGCATATGTGTCAATGAGTTATGTGAATTCACTCTGTCCTTGCCTAGAGTATTCTATCCTCTCTTCCCTGCCCAGCAGGAAATCCTGCTCCTCTGCAGAAGTCACCCATGCCAAGCCTTTCTGGCCTCCAAGGCTGGATTGTGATCTGGGCACCTGTGTGTATCTGTCAGGAGAGAGATCTCCAGTTGATGATATTATAGGGATAGAGAACAAGTGAGCAAAACCTTTGCAGAGTGGAGTGTACAGAAGAAAGGAAGAGGGGCAATATCTACTTATCTAGGGACCCCACTTAGTACAAGTCAGCCTCCCTGTCCCAAAACTGAGATTGTCAGCTGGTTCTGGCATAGCAATAATTCACTCTAAGGTGTACAGTCAGTCCCTTCACAGAACTACACTGTAGCAAATAGTATATACCGACAATTGAAGTTACGGTTAGCTTGGCAGCAGGGAGCTAGATAGCAAATTCTCTTGAGGGTAGAGACTATAGCATAGTCATAAACACTCTAGAGCTGGAAAGGCCCCTATAGTCTATTATCTAAGTAACAAGAGAGGTAACTGACTAGTCAGCCTAAGGCTAAATGGCAGACCAGGAGGGTCCTATCCAGGCCCTGAATTTGCTTTGTCACCCCAAAGGCACTGTGAGGTAAACTAAAGGGCTGAGAGGTTTAGGAAAGTTGCCAGACCAAAGCAGCCAAAAGCTGCCAGACTGAGCCCAGGCTCACTGGATATGTGGGCTTGGTGGCGATTTCTAAGAGCTTCTGCTTGGCTCTTCGCTCTGCTTCTCGGGCTTCCTGTAAGTCTTGCTTTAATTGATCAGCCTCCTTGGCCCTGCAAAAAAAGAAAAAGATGTCAGTTCCACAGAAGGGGACAGGGAGATGAGTAGACACTTACCTTACCTCCAGAGCAAGGACCTGGATTAACCTGTACATGGCACTGAAAAAGGCAAACAAGGACACTCTGACAGGGACATTTACAGGAAGCCAGAACTTCTAAAGTAAGAACAATATTCTTGAGAACTGGTTTTTTTTGTTGTTGTTGTTGTTTGTTTTTTTGTTTTTCGAGACAGAGTTTCTTTGTGTAGCCCTGGCTGTCCTGGAACTCACTCTGTAGACCAGGCTGGCCTCGAACTCAGAAATCCACCTGTCTCTGCCTCCTAAGTGCTGGGATTAAAGGTGTGTGCCACCACCGCCCAGCCCTGAGAACTGTTTATCTCAGTGGTAAAGCTAGATTGGAATATGGGATCTCTGGTGGGAAACAACCAAAGTAGCAGTTCTGCAAGTCAGCAATGGGCAATAGCTTGTGCCTGTGGTGGGAGCTACCCCAGAGGCTGAGGCAGGGAAATCACTTAAGCCAAGGAGTCAGAGGTCAGCCTGAAAACACAGGCAGACGCAGTCTCAAAATAACAAAAGTAACAAGTGTGGTATCCAATGCCTTTCATCCCAGTACTAGAAGGCAAAGGCAGACAGCTCTCTGAATTTGAGGCCAGCCTGGTCTACATACTGAGTCCAGGCCATCCAGGGCTACATAGGAACACCCTGTCTCAAAACAAACAATAATAACAACAAAACAGGTGGAGAGGAGGAAGAGTGGGTAGGACCCAGAGATCCTCTGCTTATTTCTGGGTGAAGAGTGGGCTAGGGCATCGTGAGCCTTAAGCAGGGCCTCAAAGGGCAGAACAAGAATGAATTGCTTCTTCAGGCACCCAGTAAAACACTTGTAGGCCAAGAACTACTTTTCTTGGGTAGGAAGAAGTGCCAGCACTGAAGGCATCTGTGTCTTGGTGCAGAACCTTGCTCTATGGGATAGAAGTAGCATGGAAAAAGCTTGTCCAGAGGTCTAGCCCTAGAAATGTGACCCATACACTGAAAGGGGCCTGGAGTGGGCAGGCATCAAGGAACTATCTTCTCAGGATGACATGCAAAAAAACGGTAAGAAAAACTGTAGTGAATGTACCTTAGTGGTTAAGAGCCAAATCAACAGAGCCAGATGCTTTGGGAATGTGCCAGAGTTTATTGGAAGGCTGCAAGACTAGAACAATTCGGAGCCTAGAATAGTCTAAAGAGGAGACAACAACACTTCTATCCTTCAACCTGGCTACAAGTTGGGGCAAACTGGTCAAAAAGCACAGCTGCCCCACTCCCCTAACTACCTGAAAAACTGCAGGGAAATGGGTACTTAAGTTTTCCTTTGAAGTAAATAGTTGCCATTGATTTACATCAAAAGGAAAAAGAACTAAACTGGTGTGCGTGTGTGTGTGCGTGTGTGTGTGTGTGTGTGTGTGTGTAAGAGAGAGACAGACATTCATGTGGGTGTGAGCCGGTGTAGAGGTCAATGTGGGGTATAACCCTCTACTGGTCTCCAGCTTAGTGGAGGTCTCTCACTAAATGCTCATTAATTCAACTCGACTTACTGGCTAGCGAGGTACATGGATCGTCTGACTTCTACTTTCAGTTCCAACACCTGTATTGAGGCTACAGATACATGCCACCTTGCTTAGGTTTTACTAGGGTGCTGGGGATACAAAACTAGGTTTGCATACTTGTGCAACAGGCACTTTGCTGATTAGGCCATCTCCCTGCCCTCACTTCTCCCTTTAAAAATTATTTTCTTATGTATATAGGGGTTCTGCCTGCATGTATGCTTGTGTACCATGTGCATACCCAGTGCCCATGAAGGCCAGAGAGGAGGTTACATCCCCTGGAACTGGAATTACAAATTGTTGCAAGTGTCCATGTGGCTGCTGGGACTCCAACTCATGTTCTTTGCAGAGTAGCCAGTGCTCTTAACCTCTGAGCTATCTCTCCAGGCCCTACTTCACCATCACATACTTTTTTAAAATGCAAAAGAGCCTCTTTTCCTCTCTAGCTAAAAGCAGTCTATGAATAGGCTTACAGGCTTTCATACAAACTTCACTATTAGAAGGACAAGGGTATGCTGTGGAGATATGACAGAAAGATTCCCTGGGAAAGAGAAAGGAAACTATAGCTCCAATCCCACTAGCCTGTCAAGGAAGATGTCTTATAGTCCTGTTCCCACAATAGAGAAGTCTGAAGATGCTACAACCAGCTCCGGTAGGGTTGAAACCAGGCAAACAACCCTTTACCAGGTCCCACTTCCCAGGACAACCAACCACTCACCTCCTCTCCGACTCCTCAGCCATCTTCAACGCCAGCACTTCAGCCTCCAGCACCTTCTGCTCCATCAGGCGCTTCTCTTCCTCTGTCCGAATGGCTGTGGCCTTGATTCGCTGCATCTCTTGCTCAGCTTCTGCAGCCTTTTGAGCCAGAAGCTTGGCCTCCTCCTCTGTGATCTGAGCCTTTTCAGCCAACAGGTCAGCTGTTTCCTCAGACCGCATCTAGGGAGGAAAGCGTCTTAGCTAGTGTAGGCTCAGTGCCTATCTCCATGTGGGGAGAGTAGTCTCAGACAGTACACATGCTTGTCTCTCACACCTGGCCTCCTTGCACAGGGCAACAAAACCTGGTTTTGAATCCCCAGCACCTGTGTAAAACCTAAGCATGGTCTTTTTATTATTCTTAACTTTTATTCTTATGTACACAGGTATTTTGCTTGCATAAATATTTGTGTACCTGTAAGTATAGATGCAGCAACTTTAGAAGCCAGAAGAGGCCATCAGATCTCCTGGGGCATGAGTTACAGAAGGTGGTGAGCTGCCATGTGGGTGCTGAGAATCAAACTTGGGTCCTATGGAAGAGCAGCCAGTGCTCTTGAACTCTGAACCCTCTCTCCAGGTCTTTGTTTTTTGTGTTTTTTTGTTTTGTTTTGTTTTTCTCGACAGGGTTTCTCTGTATAGTCCTGGCTGTCCTGGAACTCACTCTGTAGACCAGGCTGGCCTTGAACTCAGAAATCCGCCTGCCTCTGCTTCCTAAGTGCTGGGATTAAAGGTGTGCACCACCACTGCCTGGCTCCCAAGAGGCAGTCTTAACCTCCCTGTGCCTTCCCACTGAGAGACTCCCAGTCTGTCTGACAACAGATGATATGCTGCACATTCCAACTATTCAGCAGGGAAAAAGAAAAAAGCATCTATGCACAGAATGTATTTCAGCTGAAGTTATGCTTATGAGGGAATATTCAACTTAAACTCTGTTCTGGCCCTTTAAAGTCAGTGATTCAAAAGGTGTAATGCCCACTGCCCACTCCTGTGAAAATGTCTGCAGACTATGTTCTTGCAGTGCTAGAGAACACAAGGTAGGTCAGGTACGGCAGGTAAGCCTTTCATCCAATCACTGTGAGATGAGGCAGGGAGGATCCGTGGTTATAGAATGAGTTCAAAGTCAAGACTGGGATATCTGAAACCTGTCAATTTCCTACTTATCCCTGTCCCTAGTTGAATACATAAAAATCAATAAAAACATAGAGTCTTGAGCATGTTAAAAAAGAGCTCTGCCTCCTGAGCCATATCCCAGTCCTAGGACATTTTTGATGCTGGAGTAGTACTACTGGCAGCTGGCAGGTAGAGACAGGGACTCTATATCCTTTGAAGCAGAGGACTACTCCCAGATTATGGTTGGTACTATTCCCCAGGAGTTGTAGGGCCAAGGCCAAGAATCCCTGATTCAAAGGTAATTTAGTTGCAAAAGTGGAGTTTGACTACAACTGAACGTAAACTAAATTTTCTAAAACGAGATGGCATTGATGTTTTATAAATTGAAATAAATTCATGATCCATAGGAGGTCTAACACCACACGTCCCCATGTAGCCTGCAGGAGCCCTAATCCCCAGAAATCACCAGGGCTTCATTGGCCATCGTTGCTTCTTCCTTCATCTGCAGGAGCCTCCTCTCTAACTCATCTCTTGTGCGCTCGGCCTCCTCCCGCATCTGCTTCTCTCGAGCCAGCCGCTGCCGCTCCATCTAGGGGTAAAAGAACAGGTCTGAGTAAGTGCTCCAAAAACCCAAGAATGGCCAGTTTCTGGAGCCTCTCTCTCCACCTTGGACCTTTCTTGTGTCTCCACTTTTGGGCATTCTTATTGTCTGCTGCCCTCTGTCTTAAACTAACTGTAGAATTAAAAGCTCGACAAATTCCAGCAGAAATAAAAAAACAAAATCCAAACTCAGTCACCATCTGTAGAGAAAAGAGCATTTCTGCACACAACACAATCTACCCTTACAATGCTCTACTATTTGGGAACCCTCAAGTAGCTCTGCCCCATGACTGGCAGTTCTCCATGTAGATTCCTCCTCTCCAAAACAAGGGCCCAGAAAAAACAGTTCTCTTGTCTGTTTAGATGAACCATACCTTGTCATTTCTAGTCCCTACAGCCCTTCACACAGTTTCATCCACAATATCACCATTTCTCCCTCTGCTTATAGAGAATGACAGTTCTCACTCAGAATTTCACAGCAGGAAGCTGCAGTGACTTTGCACTGTCTTGTACAGACCCATGCAGAGGCAACTCAGACAGGCAGGAACACAGACCCCATCCTTATGGAAACAGTACAAAGCCTCTACTGCCACCCCCTAGCCTTCTGGATCACAGTGTTAATTGGGCCACTTGCCAAGCTTAATAAGAGGACCAAGACTAAACGACAGCACAGTTCCCTGTGACTCCAGGACACTGAGTTCAGAAAACAGAAGCCAGAAGTGACCAAGTACTATTTTCTGGCTTAGACAATGAAATCATGTTTAATTACTCCTTTGTGCTTCAGTCTCACCCAAACTCTAGTTCTACAAGGCTGTCCTTTCTAAATATGAACCCCCTCAGCACATTTTAGTTCAAAGAATCATTCAAAATAGACAAGCAATAAAATTCTTTGATTTTCCTCATTGACCTCAGTGAACAGGATGGTTGGCAACCTGTTCTTTAATTTCCACTAAAATATAATTTCCATTTCCATTCTCCTTTTGAAAGAAAAAAAAAGGGACCAGGCTGTCCCTAGTTTCCAGCCTTGTACTTTTCATGAAAACTTCACACTAATAATAAAGAACTTCCTGTTTTTAAAGCAGGTTATGATTTATGAAGATTTTCAGCTGTAATCTGTACTCTGGAAGGAGACATCACTAGCTCCACTTGACAGATAAGGAAACTGAGTCATGTACTAAATTTAGCTGCAAGGTCACCATGTTGCATCAGGTGATACTTGGACTATGCTCTTCTAGGGCTCAGGGGCCATCGTCACTTTCCTTGATACCTCTAGAATCTAACTTCTAAACTTTCCTCTACTGAAAGAATATGCTGCTTCTTTTTTCTTTTAAAGAATTATTATTTATTTTATGTATATGAGTACACTGTCACTGTCTTCAGACACACCAGAAGAGGGCATCAGATCCCATCACAGATGGTTGTGAGCCATCATGTGGTTGCTGGGAATTGAACTCAGGACCTCTGGAAGAACAGTCAGTGCTCTTAACCCCTGAGCCATCTTTCCAGTCCCCAAGAGTATGCTTCTTAAAGTCATCACTACACCCATGCTAGCTCAATAACACATTTTTGTTCAATATAACCTATACCATCATCCTTAAAGCATCCCAAGGAGCAAACTGATGGCCTACAGCAAACAGAGGGCAAACTCACAGCTCACTGGCTCAAACTGGGCATTTCTCTCTTAAGCCTGGGGCTAGGAGCCAGTTTCTCTGTGGTTCCCAAATCAGAGACTACCACACAGACTAATTATCACACCTCTGAGCTTTCGAGTCCTAAGGGGGACCACATGCAGCTGTAGCTACTCTGTCATAAACAGTTCATCCCAAACCACAATTGATATTCTCAGCAGCAAGACTCAAATCAGCTGTGGATTTCAGTGAGCAGAGAAGGTCTATGAGTAGAAAACAATGATCCAGCTAGTCCAATCTGCTGATAGGTGCTACAGCAGCCCCTGCAGAGGGCCAGCCATGTGTACCCAGGTTGACCTGCAGTGATGAACTGCAGCTGGGAGTCTAATTAGCATTCCACAGCACACATGAAATGCTGCCCTGTATTCTATCACCATCTAATTAGAAAGGGCACTGACCTGGCAGAGAAGACAGACAATAAAAAAGACAGCTAGATAAACAGAGGGGCAAAACCATATTTGACTACCTTGTTCCAAGTCTGATGATCACACCTGAAGTATAGGAATGTCTAAAGATCTTGTTTTTTTTTTTTCTTTTTTAGTTACATTAAAATTAGAACTTAGTATAAATTTCCCTTAAAATTTGTATTATGTGTATTTATTTGTGTATGTAAGTATACACTGGCAGTCAGAGGACAACTTGTAGAAGTCAGTTTTCTCCTTCTACCTGACTCTGGGCATCAAACTTGAGTTGTCACGTTTACCCACTGAGCCATCTCACCAGCCCACGTGCTTATTTCTATAACTGACATCCCACTATTGGGGCATTAGCTAATAAACACCCAAGAGGAATGAAATAAGAGCAGGTACATCTATAACTGTAACAGTCTAACTGACAACAGCCATCCCTTATCTGGTAGGCAGAGACCAACCAACAAGGTTTTAATTACTATTATTCATTATTGTCATGTGTATGAGAAAGTGCATGAAGTGTGTGGCACATGTCCTATGGCACAGGATGGATGTCAGGGGACAACTCTGTGAAGTCAGTTCTCATTCCATCTTTCATTGGATTTCAGGTATCAAACGAACAATGCCAGACTTGCCACCTTGTTTGCCCTAAAATCATGTCTTAGCTGGGCCTGGTGGTACTGTTGTGCCAGGAAAATGTTAGTGATCCCCAAAAAAAACACACACAGGAGCCAAACTGATGCAACTCACAGCAGGGTCTTTATTCTACTTGAGCTAGCTCGGGAACCCCCAACACACCACATCATGCAGGACAATTTTGATGCCAAATGTCTATCAGGGCTAGGCTTTATACTAAGCAGTAAGCAGGGAGTGCATCTGTAATAATCTAATGCTACTACAGCCTTTTGCTAGGCATCTTATCATAAACTTAACTTCTGGTCCCCTCTGCATTGGTGGTCATTAGGCAAGGGGTGGGCTTGTAACCTGGGATGCAAGTTTGTTGGGGTATAATCTGGAGACGATGGTCTTGTTGAGGGTGTAACCTGGAAATGCTGGTCATGTTGGGGATTAGCCTAGAGACTGGAGCTCAGGTTTTGTTGGGGTGGGGGGCAATTTGGAAACTAATGCTAGGTACCAGCCTGTTGGTTTATCTGAGTTCACACTTAGGTCAGGTTCTCTAAAATGGAGTCTGAATTTGGCATCTCAGTACATGTCAGTGATCCCTGAATTAGAGAGGCTGAGGCAAGAAAACTGTCTCCAGTTTGAGGCCTAACTGAACTCCACAAAGTATATCAGGCCAGCCAGAACTACATAGTAAGAATATTTCCCAAACAAACAAACGAACAAACAACAAACAAACAAACTAGAGACTGCAAGAAATCTCAGTCAATAAAGCTCTTGCTAGGCAAACATGAGTGCCTGAGTTTGATCTCTAGCTCCCACAAGAAAGGCCAGACATGGCAACAAACTAGGGAGGTAGAAACAGACAGAGCCCTAGGGCTTGCTGGCTTAGATTTAGACACTCTGCCTCAAAAGACAAAGTAGATGGCTCTTGAGAAATGATGCTCAAGGTTGACCTGTGGCCTCCAAAATCAAGTGCAGAAATACATACATACATACATACATACATACATACATACATTCATATATATACAAGCCAAATGAAACAAACAAGATCTTCCTCACCTGCTTCCTAGCCTTCTCTTCCCTGGCCTGGGCTTTCATCTGCTGAACTTCTAAAGAGTCAGCTTTCCGTCTCCTCATAAATAGGTCATGGTTCCCAATACATAGCTGAAGAATCTGTGGACAAGAAAATAGAAAACATATTAAGCACGTAAATTTATCTTGCTGCCTACCAGCCACAATGCTATAGCATCTTGGGTTCTGTAAACCTGGGGAATGAAGACAAAAATGGAATAAAAGACAAAAGTCTTGCTGATGGCTTCTAATGCTCTCAGCTCTGGAAATATGTACAAGTGCCTCAGATAATCCAGAAGATAAAAATCACAAGTGAGGAAAAGCCACTATTAGTCACCCACATGCACCACAGTCTAAGTCAAGGTATGGCAAAGCAGATCAAGAAGACAGAAAGACCAACCAGGAAGTTGGAAGGGGTCAAAGGTTATTCATCTAGAAAAAAATAAGCTGGCTTTCTCCCTCATGCCAAAAGCCAATTCCAGTTTCAAAGGTAACCCTAATTTGAAAATACAGAGTATTTTTTTTAATTAGAAAAAGGAAAAATGGCAAGTAAAAAAATACAGAGGAACACATTTTTTAAGTATAGAAAAGAGTTTATTCAGGGCATGGGAGGGGAGTCAAGAGGGTGGTAGAGGCAGAGAGAGGAAGGGGGAGTGGGAGGTAAGAAGGGAAGTAGAGGCCGGTCATGAGGCCATGGAGAGATGGGGGAAGGGAATGGGGAGAAAGCAGGAGCAGGGAGGGAAGAGCAAGAACAAAAGCGATAGAGGTCTTTTAATGTGTTGACATGAAAGGTAAAAATTATTTGTCAAGACATCATAAAGAAGGAAAATGAACTTTACAAGGGAGAAAGACAATAATTCATAAAGAAAACAACCAACTAACCCAAGAAGAAACTGGTCAAAAGACATGAGACAAGAATTTAAAGGAGCAGGAAATTAGATTTGATCAACAAATTATAAAGATGTGACTTCATTAGAAATTATAAAATGCAAATCAATATGGCACGTGGAGGCTGAGATCTACCTCAGCCGTAGAATGTTTCCTGGTGTGCACAAAGCCCTACATTTTAGCTTTATTCCCATCCCCCTCACCAAAAGAAACAAAACAAAAACCAAAAAACAAAAAAAGGTTAACTCTTTAACTCTGTAGGTTAAACTAAAGAGAAAAATATTTACCATGTCAAATATCATTTTACATCTCTTAGCAAGAGAAACTAGGGCCAGATAGATCCTGGCAGAGAGGCTTTTTTAAAAAAGGGCAAATTTAAAAAAAAAAAAGGGAGGGGGGGGCAAATTACACACACACCCACACACACACACACACCACACACACACACACACACACCACACACCACACACACACACACCACACACACACCACACACACACACACACACACACACACCACACACACACACCCCATTCAATTTCTCAGAAAAGTTAGTTCTCTGTAAATGAAAACCAGGATTTCAACTTACCAGCTTATTAACACGAAGCTTTGAGGAGTTAAATTTGAAGACATCAATTTTCTTATCCAGTGGTTTAATAGTAAACTGAAAGAAAAGAGTGCAGTTTCTTGTGACACCAACTGAAAATTCACAAAAGTAGCAACCACACAGCCTCCAGTCCTGGCTTCTTGGTGCCAGGAAGGAAGGCTGGGTGAGTTAGAGGCATACAGGGTACCAAATTTGGGGCTGCAGCAGTTTATGACCCTAACCATCTTTGGCATCTGAGAGAAAGGTCTCCACGGACGTTTGAACCCAGGATGGGCCGCTCTGGAGGCCACACTGCAAAGATCCTTGCCTTCCTAAAGCTCACAGTCTAGTAGGACTTAGTCCAACAACAGTCAGATACTCAAGAGATAACATTATATATTAGTGTCTCATTGGTGGGACATGTCATAAATATCCTAGAGGTTTAGAGCAGACCCAGCACAAAGGGGAGGTCTTAGAAGCATACAGCAGAATAGCTGAAAGACACGGAGGAGGGGCATCATAGACAGGGCAAGTAATAATAAATTCAGTCTCTAGCACTGAAAAGTAAGAGGAGGAGGAGATAGCAAGAGGGGAAGGAGCAGGCTTCTTATTACCTCATCAGTAATTGCAATGTTACAGCAGACCTAGAGACAGGAAGACTGATGGGTGGTAAAGGATAAAAAGTCAGAGGGCTTATAATTGATGTGGCAAGTTACGACACAGCAAGTTCCTGTGGAGTTCTGAACATGGTCAGTGGTCAAAGATGTTAAGAGAGGAATAGTATGAAGAATAGTACAGGGACTGCTGTAAAAGAGAAATATATAGTTCATGAAATCAAAATGAAGAGTAAGTGACAATGTAGCAAGAGAAACCTAAGCACAGACAAGGCAATTGCTACTCTAACCACTGAGGAGACCAGAATGATCCTAGACTCCAGGGATGTCCCTGGAAATTTGTTTCTAGGCTGGATATGGTAACACATATCTGCCATACTGGCAGGAGGCAGAGGAAGGAAGATCACAAGTTTAAAGCCAGCCTGTTTTATATAGATTTCCAGGCTAGCCAGGAAAACATAGCAAGACCCACTTCAAAAACAAAATGAAACAAGCCTATCTAGATCAAAGCAGGGGAAGGCAGATTCTTGGGTATTTCTTTACATGTTTATATTGTCCAATAAAAAATGAGCATACATAGGACCAATAATAAATAAATAAATAAATAAATAAATTCCTTAGTTTGGTTTTGGGTCAAGTTAGTTTAGTCATAATATTCCTCTGGGATAGAATATTATTTATGCATTTCATAAGCGTATTTATAGCCTTGCTACTGAACCCTAGAGGTGTCGGTAAGAAGTCACAAGTAGTATGGAAACTATAGGTTCTGTTTCATACCGGGCCATACAGGAAGAATCAACTTAAAATAAACTAACACTTCTGTTTTAGCAGGACGACTTCCATAGAGAATTCCCAAAACTACTTCCCATTATGGCATGCCAACATAGCTTGGGGGTCTGTTTGCCATATAAAGTATTGATGTGATGGAACACTGATGGTACCTTACTCCTAGAGAGGGCACATTAGAGTTTGTTGTGTCAGGCCATACCAAGGGACCTTAACACGTATTTGAACCTTTAGAGTGCAAATGTGTCATGTGTGGTGAATAGCTTTTGTGAAATTGGGAGGTGAAGCACTAGTTACACTGTGACACACAGACTATGTTAAGTCACATGGAGTTTCCAATTTAAGAACTTGAAAAGGAGAACTACCAAATGCTCACTTCCCAGGATAACCAGCTATAAAAACTAACAGCCAGAATGCCTAGGATTAAGAAATGCAATTGGAGCTGGGCAGTGGTAGCACACTTTAATTCCAGCACTTGGGAGGCAGAGGCGGGCGGATTTCTGAGTTCAAGGCCAGCCTGGTCTACAGAGTGAGTTCCAGGACAGCCAGGGCTACATAGAGAAACCCTATCTCAAAAAAACAAAAAAAAAAAAAGAAAAGAAAGAAAGAGAGAGAGAGAAAGAAATGCATTGGCCTGGCAAATGGCTCAGCAGGTTAATATGACTGTCACCAATCCTTTAAAGCTGACCAGCATAGTATAAGGATAGTAAAGACTCCTACAAGTTGTCCCCTGACCACTACACACCCACCCTGGTACATGCTACACCCCTTCCTCCAGTAAGTAAATAGTATTTTCCTTAAGTTGCTAAAAAAGAAAAACAAAAACCAAACCAAAACAAACAAAACAACCAGAAAATATGCTTTGAGATCTGCAAGTAACATAAACTATCACTGTTATTCACTGTCCAGGCTTTCTTCTTCTGCCTGGTGTTTTGTGGTTTTAGGGTCCAGCCCCTGGACCACTTTGATAAGCAGGAGCTCTGGCATCAGGCACCCTAGCTTCCAGTCCTTGTTACTTCACTCATCAGACACAAGATCTCAGTGTATCTGTTTTCTGGTGTCATGGATACTGAATATATCCCTGCCTTTACAGTAAGTTAATCCTGAGGACTTGATCAGACAGCCAGGGCTAACATGTATATAATTAGAGGCCCTGAGCAATCACATCATCAGCCCTTCCGTCTTATTTATTTATGGAAGGATGGGGTACAAGCCAGGTCCTACACGTGAAGGTCAGAGCACAACCTATATAACTTCATTCTCTACTTCTCCAACATCAGGGTCTTAGGAATGGAACTCAGGTCACTAGGCCTGATAGCAAGCACCTTTACTCACTGAGCTATCTCACCAGCCCACACTGTACTTATGCATTTGAGCAGTCAAGTCATTCTGAACCAGATTACCTTGAGAGCTAATATTGCACTTTATACAGCTCTGTATCTTTCTACATCTGTTTGCTCTCTGAAGCCTGGCACAAAGTCCAATAACTCCCTTAAGCTGGGCATGGTGGCATACGCCTTTAATCCCAGCACTCAGGAAACAAAGGCAACTGGGTCTGTGAGTTCAAGATAAACCTGGTCTACAGAGTGAACACCTGGACAGCCAGGGTTGTTACACAGAGAAACACTGTCCCTAAAAACAAAACATAATAATAATGATGATGATGATAATAATAATAATAACAACAATAACAATAATTTCTTTAAGATTAATGAATAGGAGGACAGGAGGACAGGAGAACAGGGAGATGCTCAGTAAAATGTAATTGCCTTGCATATGCAAGGCTCTGGGTTTGATCCCCAGCACCATCTACTAAAGATAAACAGAATTAATACATAAAACAGGACTATTACATTTGGAGAAAGTTGTCATCTTATATGGAGATATGTGAATCCACTCTGAGCACAGTGGCTCATGCTGTAATTCCAGAATTTAGGAGGCTAAGGGAGTATTGCTGTCAATTCAAGGCCATTTTGAGCTACAGAGAAATATTTTAACCCAATTATGTTATTTAAGTTTCTCAAACTTTATTCTTGGAAATATAGCAGCCTACTGTCTTCATTACTGTCATTACTCAGAGAAATATCCACTAATAACTAATCTTAGTTGTCAATTTGATTGTATCTGGAATCAATTAAAACCCAAGCTTCCCAATATTCCTATGAGGGTTTTATTTATTTATTTATTAAAAAAAAAAAAAAAAAAAAAAAAAAAAAGCCGGGCAGTGGTGGCGCACGCCTTTAATCCCAGCACTTGGGAGGCAGAGGCAGGCGGATTTCTGAGTTCAAGGCCAGCCTGGTCTACAGAGTGAGTTCCAGGACAGCCAGGGCTACACAGAGAAACCCTGTCTCGAAAAACAAAAAAAAAAAAGAAAAAAAAATTATTTTATGTATGTGAGCACAGTGCAGCTATATTCAAACACACCAGAAGAGGGCATCAGATCCCATTACAGATGGTTGTGAGCCATCATGTGGTTGCTGGGAATTGAACTCAGGACCTTTGGAAGAGCAGTCAGTGCTCTTAGAAGTTGAGCCATCTCTCCGGCCCCAAGAGGTTTTCTTAATCAGGTTATGAAGCCTAAATCTGGGCCATATTTTCTAGTAGCCCACATGACAGGACATAGAAGAAGGAAAGTTGGCCTTTGCTGGCATACTTTCTTTCACTCTTGGCAGCATATTCATCTATCCTCTTGCTACAGCATTCCTTCACCAATATTAGAACCAACTTCATTGGGATTACAATACAGACTGAACAGCAGCTGCTCTTCAGTAATCTTCCAGGCCTTAAACACAGACTAAGACTCAAGAGAGATCCAGCCTTGTGGATTGGACACTACTGGATTCTCCACTCCACTCTTCTCCAGTGTGAGACGGCCATTGTTGGAGTACTTGGACTTCGTGCTGTAAGTCAATCTAATTAATACTCTTTTCATATACATATTCACCCCATCATCAGTTGTTTCTTTAGAGAATCTTGACTAATACACCCCCTACAAATACATAGCTATCAGCCTGGCATGGTGGTTGCATGCCTTTAATCCCAGCATTCAGGAAGCAGTGTTGAAGGCTGGCCTGGTCTATCTAGCACGTCTAGGGCTAGCCAGGACTACATAGTGAAACCCAGTTAAAAAGCAGAACAATAAAAGCAACCCTCTCTCTCCTCCACAAAAGAAGACTTTTTTTTACATGCAGGCACACTCACATACTTTTCCACCACATGTACCAAACACAGTACACAGGGAGAAGCTTAATACAGACCACACTTAAAATATAAAGAAACAGAAAGCCAAATAATCAGAAATTGTTCCTTTTTCCCTTCTTTCTGTTCTTTGGGGCTTAGTCCTGACAGGTTGAGCTGCTCACTCTCTTGTTAGTCAATAGTAGGGTTTAGCCATGCTCTTAGAAAAAAGGATGTCAAAACTTTCTGTAAGTACTTTAAAAATCAACAACCAGAGTTCTAAAGCCTGGAATTAAAAGACTTTCACTGACAAGGAGATGGTCTGGCTTGGGAAGCTTTGGCAAAGAAGAGAAATGGGAACGAACGTTTTGCAGGACTCCTGTACCATAAATGGCACCTGTGGTACAGACAGGTCCTACCTCCTTGTCGCTGTAGGAGATGTTTCGGATTTCATTCCATGGGAAGGAGATCTTGGGGGTCAGCCTGTTCTCAGGGTCATAGATGTGAAGGCCGAGAGCATCCACTCCAAGCAGCAGCTCTGTGCCCTTTTTATTCTGCAGAGCCAATAAAGAGCAGCTGTAGTCAGCTTCCAGCTGGGGATTTTATTCAACTTTCTAAAGAATCTGCCGCGCACTGTTATATTTGACAAGTTTCAACAAGTCCCAACAGAAATCATGGCTCTCTTGTAACCCAAGAGGCTTCCAGCTTCTGGATTTGGGGAAGCAGAAGCAAAACAATACCATTTTTGTGATTGTTGTGTCCCCTGCAAGTATCACTGTGGATTCAGACTCCTGTCATTGGCTTGGTGGCTAAAAAAAATGGTAATTTAAATGTTGGGAGTACTAGTTAAATAATCAGATTATCAAAGGGAGAGCCAAAATCCACACATTTGAACATTTCTCCCATTACAGGAAACGGTGGTGTTCTTCTCTGGCATGTATAAGACCCTGGATTTGATCTGCATCATCACACACACAAAATCTGTTGGATTTCTAGAAGAAATGTTTAGGTCTAGGGACTAAACAGTCTCATGTTAGGTTGAAATGCAGCTCCATGTAGTTTTACTATATAATACCCCAATATGGTATTAACTGCAGTAGCTAGGTGGTGGATATATATGGCATTCGATAAATCCTTCATTCTTCCATGTTTCAAATACTTGATTGATAACTGAACGTTGGAAGAAATAAAAAAAATAAATTATACATAAATTACACTTCAATGAAGTTGTTAACACTAGTTAACTATATGAATGCTACACCTCTGAGAGCAGTCCTGGTCAACAGTTATTTCAGCCAGAGGCTTAGTACACGTGTCCCAAGCTACTGACCAGCTGTGGAGCCACTGTCCTGTCCTCAGAGGCAGGGGGAGCTGAAACTCCTCCCACATACAAGGACACTACAGCTTCCTCCCCCTTGCTGACAACAAGGAAATTAAGACAAGATTCGAGGGAAGGGGAGCAGATTTGCAAACCGAGACGGCGCTCCGGCTGTGACTAGAAGTACCACTCTAACAGCAGGCGTTAGAGGGGAGGTGAGCACTTGAAGATGAATCTCCCTACGCCTTCTAACACCTGAAAGCAAGCGCTACCACTCAGCCAGAGAGTGTTCTGTTTGTCTGCAAAGGTTTTAAAACTGATGTGCTGACAGAAGTGAGTGAGGCTTGTATTCTCACATCTATATAGCCTGTTATGGAAAATAAGGCATTTTCTTGTGTTTCTGATAATTTAGCAAATAAAAAGAGAAAGGATTCCACCCTCTACTCTCGTTATGACTCTCACACTTTTAGAGATAAGAGATGGTAGCACAAATAACGTCTCTGAAATTGTTTTAATCACACGGTACTCCATTAATATGTACATGTAAGTATCTATCAGCTAAAATAAAATGTATTAATCATGTATCTTCCCTAGTTAATGATAGAATTTAAGATGTCTAACATAAAGTCACTAAAATGCCTTTAACTTTGTCTATTGTTCAACATAAAAAAAAAACCTAGTAAATGCTCATCTGATTAATGAAGCTGGTTTTTGAACTGCTGAGATGGCTTAGTGAATCAACATGCTTACTGATATGTCTGACCTCAGTTTGACCCCAGGACCCACTTGGTAGAAGAGAACTCCAGCATGTTTTTCTCTGCCCACCACCACAAATATAGATAAATAAGTATAACAAAGTATACATTATTCTTTTTTCTTCTTCTAAATAAAATAAATTTGCAAGAAAATCTGTTTTGGTTTTTGGAGAGGTTTTCTGTGTAGTCCTGGTTGTCCTGGAACTCACTCTGTAGATGAGGCTGGCTTGAAACTCAGAGAGATCCACCTGCCTCTGCCTCCTGAGTGCTGAGATTAAAAGTGTGTGTTACCATTGCCTAGTCTCATTTTCTAAGGATTGCAAATGCTTTTTTCTTTTAAACAATTACTGCTGGTGGTGGGCAAGAGAAGTTAATTGGGTTGACACAACCACAGAAATGCATTAAATTAGTCTAATTTCAAAGAAACAGATGTCAAATACAAACTAATAAAACTTTTAATTATTTAATATTTACTAATGTCTGTGTGTTGTGTGGATGCATGCTTATGCCACAGCACACATGTGAAGATCATAGGATGATGTGCCTCACAGTAAGAACAAGAGTTCTCTCCTTTCACCATGTGAATCCCATGGACTGAACTCACATGTCAGGCCTGGCAGCAATTGCCTATCTACTACTCCATCTCACTGGCCCTCACCAAACATGAGAGATGACCTTCTGCATTCTTTTTTTTTTAAGATTTGTTTTTATTATTATGGTTTTCTAGTTACGTATTTCTGTGTCTGTGTACATAAGTGCAAGTGCTCCCAGAGGCCAGAGGCATCAGGCAGTGTTGTGAGCCTCCCAAACTGGGAGCTGGGAACTAAACTCAGGTCCTGCTGAAAATAAAATATCCTTTAGGCACTTGCTTATTATAGTAGTACATATCAGTGTGCCCTGTTTTTTTATGAAAAAAAAAAATCTAAAAAAAAACTGTATTTAGGAAACAAATTAAATAGAAAGCTACCCTAGAATACTGGAGTCATTAATTCAATTTCCTCAAAGTTAACATAAAGACTGTAGGAACCCAAAAGAGGGAAGCAAAGGTACCTGGGATCATAAAGGGGGATGGCTGCAGCTGACCTTTACTGTCTGTCTACTCATCTGTGGCCAAGTTTCTTAATATCCACTCATCCACCAATGAAGAAAAGCTTGGGTACATCGCATGTGCTTCTTTGGAAGAAGTCATGAATATGCTGCAACCAGCAGCCAAATTCCCCCACAAGAGAAAAACATGCTCTAGGGCCAGACCTGAACAGAACACAAATGCCTTTCTCTGCAGAGGCACTGGTTCCCAGAGGCCTGGGGACCATTAATGGTCTGAATAGAAAACTAATTAGCCTCACAGTGAGAACAAGAGTTCCACCCAAACAAATTAGGAATCTCTAAGAGCAGCCTTACTTTCAGTGGGCTCTAGGGAAAGACATTATTTCCAGGTGCTCCTTGGATCTCCCAAGAGGCCAGAATAATCAAACATTACATGGCCAGCATTCCAACAGGTCTCAGCTGAGAAGAGAACCAGGCCTGAGTCCCTCAGGGTACCACTGACACTTAATTACCTCTGATCTAATTTGAAGCCCCAAATGAAAAAAACAAAACAAAAAACAAAACAAAAAAAAACAGGCTCTTGACCCTTGTCTTCCTCTTTTCTTCTTTACTACTGAACCATAAAAGACTCTTAACTACCCTGGAATCTGGAAGTAACCCAGCTGCCTGTGTGGCCTCTACTCAGTCTTTCTGAGAGCCAGGGAACTTGGGAAGGAGTCAACACACCCGGATTGTAAAGTAGTTCACACCATACATCTCCAAGTCCTGAGCTATCTTCAAATACTCCATTTCAGCTTCATCCCTGTGAGGAGAATGGAAGACACCATTATTAGGGCTAAGTGACAAGGATGAAGGACAGACACTTGCCAAGTCAAATATTCCGAGCATGTCTATGGCGAGATAAATGAGACCTGCAGAAGAGGAGACAGACCAGACACCAGCAACACTTTTCTCAACCCAGAGTCTATTAAACACAAGCAGAATTTCCCATCCCTGTGAAAATAAGAAAACAGACTCATTACACTGACTCTTGGCTTCAATTTCACACTCTGGCCTTCGTAAATAGTGACATCTGTCTCAAGTGATTTAAAAGAAAAAGGCCGTGGGGGCTGGGAATAGAGCCCAGTAGTACAGCACTCACTCAGCATTGCAAAGCTCTAGGTTCTGTCCCTGACATTGGCAAAAAGAAAAAAAAGCCACAGTGCATTCTTTTCCGGCCTCAAATTAATTAAGTTATTGCCTTGTATCTGTACTTCCTTAACCTAGAGGCTTCAGTAATGAAGAGGCTTTTCTAGAAGCTAGCTGACAGCACCTACTTTCCTGGTTTATCTGGTACTGCTGAAGGTTAAGGCAAGAACTATCTGAGCCATAAAACTCAGGCCAGTAGGTGAACACTTCTGTGTTATAAGTCAAGCTTAAAGCAAGCTCTGGATGCAGCAGTGACTTGCAGAAAACTCCATGAGAGGTAACAGTATTGAAGTAATTTAACTCAAGCTTCCCTGTGACCTTGTCCTTGTCCTCTCTCTCATCTCAAAACACTCTCAAATGGATTTAAAAAATTCACCCTGAGAGAATGCCAAGTGTTGGCAAGCAGGTGGAAGGACAGAAATCACACACACTGCTGATGTAAATTGATTCAATTACTTTGGGAAAGTGTTCAACATTACCTATAACAGCAAAAACCAAGAGACAACCCAACAACCTAAGAGTCCTTCAACAGTAGAAGGCATGAATAATCTGTTACACTAATGTGCTGGAACTCTGCAGTCATGAAAATGAGGACAATATCGCTACATGCCACGTACGCAAATCTCACAAGATACCTTGAGGAAAAGGTGGCACTACAACTAGAAATTGGCTTTATTTATCTAAAGTTTAAAATGGGTGACGGTGGCTTATGGGTGTAACTCAGTGATAGAACAGTTACTTGCCTAGCATGTGAGAGACCTTGTATTTGATCCTCAGCACTACAAAATAGTAATATAACAATGATAAGTAAAAAAGAAAGAAAGAAGCAGAGAGAGAGAGAAAGAGAGAGAAAAATCAACGGGCAACACTAATCCAAGGGAACATTAATTAGAAATTGGAGTGACTGGGACTGGATTGGCAATGGCTACACAAACCTTCAATCTCAGCACTGAGCAGAGGCAGGTGGCTATCTGTGGGAGAGGGCCAGCCTGGGGAATACACAGTCAGTTCTAGGACTGCTAGAGCTACAGAATGACTCAAAAAGAAAAGACATTGGTAAACTAGTATCTTTGGGGAGGAAGGACCCTGAGAAGTCATGGTCTATTTCTTCCTTACCATTTTGTGGCAATAATCAAGCAGTGAGCTCATCATCTGTTCATTTCATGGGTATAAACAAAAAAAATAAAGATACAGGAGCTAGTGGTTGTTCTAGAGAACCTGGGTTTAACTCCTCATACCCAGGTAGAGCCCCACAACCATTCAGTTCTAGTGCCCTCTTCTGGCCTCCACAGGCACCAGGCATGTACATGGTACACAAACATACATGTAGAAAAAATATCCATATACACAAAATAAATCTGAGGAAAAAATATAGCAGGAAGCTGATCTGAAGGATGGGAGTAGGGCACCTCGTGCAAAGACAGTCAATATCTGAAGCTACCAAGGGAATACTTAAAACAAGCTCCACATTTTAATATTTTAATTTTCTCTTGAGACAGGGTTCCTCTGTGTAGCCCTGGCTGTTTCGGAACTTGCTCTATAGACCAGGCTGGCCTTAAACTCACAGAGAGTACCTACCTCTGCCTCCTGAGTGCTGGGATAAAAGGTATGTGCCACTACTACCCAGCTTGTGTTTTAATTTTAATTTAGTAGAACTACAGATTGACTAAAAACACAGGGTGGTAGGAACATTCTACTAACATTGCTGATGGACATGTGCCAAAACGTAAAAAATTTTCCAGAGAACAATTTAGTGTCACCTGTCAAAACACAAAATGTTCATTTCCTTTCACCACCAACTCTCTTCTACCCTCTGGACTCTTGCAATTGTGTGACAACATGAGATTGTGCACTGCAGAACTTTCTGTAAAAGTGAAAAGCATGCAGATATTCTAAGTGCCATCAACACATGCCTAAATGCAAAAACAAAAGGGCTTCAAACAGTGTTAAACTAAACTGCCACTAAGTGCACCAGGTTTGTACATTCTGGGTTTCAACCCAGGGTCTTACACATGCTAGGCAAGCACACTACCACTGAGCTACATGTCCAGACTGTCACATTCCCCTCCCCCTTTTTTAGGGCAACACACTACAATAAGGATACACACAAAACTGAAGAGCGACATTATTCCATTTCTTGCTTCTTTTATATACTTCAGGACTGCATTCTGTTCAACGAGCATGCCCTAGTTTTATAGTTCTTTAAGGATAGGGGAGGAGGCATGAAGAAATATAAACCAAGGATGAAGCAGCCTCACCTGGCTCTGCCCCGATGCTCCGCATACCAAGCAGTAATTCTCTCCTCCCACATTTCTGGAGTCATCTGATAGAGATTTATCACCTACCAAAAAGACAGCAAAAGAAAAGCCCACATGCAAAGCAAGTCTGGGTATTGTTTGCCATTTTTATAATTATGGTTCATTTTTACAAAACAACAGAGCTATTTATAAAAAGCTGCATGCAGGGAGAGTCACACACAGAGGTGGGTGTATAAACAAGCACTGTTCCACTAGAAGAGCAACCTGCAAGCTGCAGGCCTCCTCAAGCCTAAGTACACTCCTGGGCCCCTTTTGCTGCTGGGGCTGTTCTTCTGAGGGACCACCCCTGACAATAGAGCAATGCTTACTCACTCTGGCTGTCTACTGCACAGAAGTCATCAAAGAACAGGGAAGGCAGGAAAGGGTTGGGGGAAAGCCTTTATTACCCAGTGACAGATGATAAGTGGGGCTGTAAGATAGGAAGCAGCCGAGGGCTGCTCTGTGTCTAATGAATACAACCAGCAAGACAGAGGATTAAAAGGCCCTTCCCAACCTCATCTTCTCCACCCCAACAGCTCAGTTTTGCACAACGAGCACACAGTCTCATGGCTCCCTTACATCAATGCCCGTCAACCATCTTCAGAAACTGCCACGTCAGAAAATTATCTATAGGCCACATCTGACTGGCATTTCATTAATTCCACAAACTCTTGCTATTTTGTTGTTTTGAAACCAAACCTCACTCTGTAGCCCAGGCTGGCCTTAACCTCGTGATACTCTTGCCTCTGCCCCTAGAATACTGGGAGTTCAGACGTGACCCACTATGTGCAGCACTAATTCTAGTACTCAGGAGACTGAGGTAAGAGGAGAGTGAGTTCACAGGCAGCTCAGACTACAGAGTGAGAGCCTGTCTCAAAGAACAACAGGAGCTAGAGAGAAAGCTCAGTAGGTAAAAGTGCTTGCTCTGCAAACATGGGGGCTTCAGTCTGAATCCCCAGTACTGACAGACATGAAAAAGCTATTAGGAATTGATAGCTCTTGAGAGAGGAAAAAATCAAGTTTTTTCAAGTGGAATGACCATTGGGTGTATGAACACACCACAGGCAGCAAGACTCAGGAGTAGCTAGCCAAAAAAAAAAAAAAAAAAAAGAGGGGAGGAAATCCATTACTTTTGTTGTTATTACTTAAGAGAAACAAAAAGAATATGAAGTTGAGTAAGTAAAAAGATAGGGTAGGACCTGGGAGAAGTTGGGGGAGGAGAAAGCTTATGATTAAAGAAGCTGGGTAGTGGTAGTGATGGTGCACACCTTTAATTCTAGTACCCGAGAGGCAGAGGATCTTTGTGAGTTCAAGGCTAGCTTAGTCTACGGAGTGAGTTTCAGGACAGCTTGGGTAACATAGAGAAACCCTGTCTCAAAAACAAAAAAACAAAAACATATGTGTGTGTGTATATATGTGTATATATATGTGTATACATATATATACACACATATATATATACACATATATACATATATATACATATATATACATATATAATATACCACAAGTATATTATATATAATATGTATATAACATATTCTCAAAGAATAAATAAAAATATTAAAAAAAAAAAAAAAAAGCTCAGGCATGTCTGTACACATGTCTATAATCATAGCACTCTGGGATAGACAGGCAGATCTTGAAAGGTTATTAGCTGGCTACCAAGCTTGCAGTCAAGAGACCCTGTCTCAAGACAACAAGGAAAGAATAGAGGTACACACCTGGCCGGGTGGTGGTGGTGGTGCACGCCTTTAATCCCAGCGCTTGGGAGGCAGAGGCAGGCGGATTTCTGAGTTCGAGACCAGCCTGGTCTACAGAGTGAGTTCCAGGACAGCCAGGGCTACACAGAGAAACCCTGTCTCGAAAAACCAAAAAAAAAAAAAAAAAAAAAAAAAAAAGAGGTACACACCTGGAACCCAGCTTTAGCTCTACATGTATGAAAGTGTACATACCTGCACACTCATAGGAATGTACAACACACACAGAGACAGAGTAAATATGCTTAGCTAAGACTCCATCCTTCTTTCTCAAGATACCGAACTATCTCTGCAAATGTGCTTGCTGTGTCCTTCCAGCACTCTTCAAACCACTCAGTGGCTTCCCTTCAGCCACATATGCTATATTTTCCCAAACAGAGAATTTGATTTCTTACCCTTTTTGGAAGTAATTCCTCTTGGGCTAAAAATCCTCGCTTGTGTACAGAGGGGTCATAGTCGCCATACTGGAAAGAAAAGAGAACAGGTGACTGAGGTCCTAAGGAGTACTGTCATTTCTGATCAAGGCTCAATTAGTTGGTTCCCTCCTCCCACCCAGTTCCAGGAAGCAATTCAATTCTGATGACAAGATTTCAACCTTGCCAGTTTGTTATCCTTGAATGAAAATACAAAGCTGATTACATCTATGAGCAGAGTTGCAAAATCCCATAAGGGATGGATGGGTGATGTGCTAATAGGAATGTGACATTTGTATGGAAATGTAGTCTGTTTCCTAACCCTCAGAGAAAGCAGTCACTTCCAAACATTAGCTTTGTAATGGAAACAACAAAACACAACTGTGAAAGTTGTGATTAGCAAGTATGATAAGAGCCTTACCTACAAATGCCTCTAAGTAGCTGGTAATTGGAGCCAATTGCAAGGTGGGACCAGGGATAATGCAAGCAATGTTTTTAATAACTTTTGCTCAAGGCTCTGAAAGTTGCTTTGGAAAGCTCTGATATCAACACTGCCATTCCTATTGCACAAAGAAACAATAAGATAAAAGGTTAACTCACACAGCCAAAGCTGGAGAGCAGATCACTAGAGGGGCCAGCGATCTCCGATACTCCTTCAGGGGCAACAACTCTATTGTCTATTGCCTGATTTTTAAAAACAATATTCCTTTCTTTCCTAGAAAACTTAGATCAGAGAATCATCCAAAATCAAATAGGCTGGGATGTGGCTCTGTGGGACAGCACTTGCTTATCATGCATAAAGTCCTAGATTCAACCCCCAGTCCAGATATAGAGACTGTGGATTAGGCATGGTGATACCTTTAGTTCCAGCCCTCAGGAGGCAGAGGCAGCTATAAGTTTGAGGTTAGCCAGGACTATAGAGTAATACCCTGTCTCAAATAAAAATAAAAATAAATGGGCAAGAGAGAAAGAAAATGAAATAGAACCTAAGCACAAAGCCTATCTCTTCTCAGTCAGCAGTCAATGGTTTCTCCCTCTTCTGCATTTACTTATTTATTTGGGGGTGGTGCGTGCCGCAGTGCTTACATGGAATCAGTTCTTTCCTTCTACCATGTGAGTTCCAGGGACCCAGCTTAGGTTATAAGGTTTGGCAGCAAGTGCCTTTACCCACGGAGCCATCTCAGCAGCCCAGTGGCTTCTCTCTCTTTTCTTTATTAAAAAAACTCTTAGATTTATTTTTATTATTTTATGTGTATGAGTGTTTTGCCTGTCTGTGCATCTGTGCACCACATGTGTGCTGGTGCCTGAGGTAATGGACCTCCATGTGGTGCTGGGAATAGAACCTTAATCCTTCGCAAGAATGGCAAGTGCTCTTACCCATTGAACCACCTCTTTTCTTTAATTAAAAATTTGATTTTATTTTACGTGTATGAATGTTTCATCTGCATGTATGTCTATGTCCCATGTGTCTGCTTGGTGCCCTTGGAGGCCAGAAGACATCAAAGTCCCTGGAACTGGAGTTATATTTTACATGTATGAGTGTTTTGCATGCATGTTCATCTATATACCACACATGTGCCTGGGGCCTGAGGAGGAAATGAACCTCCTAGCAGGTGCTAGGAATTGAACCTGGATCATTCCCCTTTGTTTTTAAAACAGACATCAAGGTAGCCTTATTGTTGTGAGAGGAATTAGTCCAATGAAGAAGCTCTTTCAGCAGAATCTCCACTACACTTGCATTGCTCAGATGTAATATATTTGATCAGTGTAGTAGCCGGGTTATGGTTGTGAGCCACCATGTGGGTGCTGGGAACCTACAGTTCCAGGGAAGCCAGCTCCCTATTCTGACCTCTGTAGGTACCAGGCATGCAGACTACACACACAAACACCATGGCAAAACATTCATAGACATAAAATAAGAATATTTCTCCTTAAATGTAAAAAAAGCCAGATGGCAGTGGCACGACTTTAATCCCAGCACTTTGGAGACAGAGACTGGCGGATCAGAGTTAAAGATGAGCCTGGTCTACATACTGAGTTCCAAGGCAGCCAGGGATACACAGAGAAACCCTGTCACAAAATTAAAATAAAATAAAATAAAATAAAATAAAATAAAATAAAATAGATTGCATCTTTCCAAGTCTAAGTTCTTTCTTAGATGAGAGCCCTGGAGAGAAATCTCTAGAGTGCTGCTGTAAGGCGTCTCTCTTAAGCCCCAGCTCTCCACCTGTAAAGCAAGGAGCAAAGTATCTGGGGCAGTCGGTGCTGATCCTGGAAAGTCAGGATGAGCACTATGGTGTCTTTCATTACTGAGGACTTCAGAGGTTATGACTGAGAGCCATGCTAGCTGCATTTGCAAGCCTTTCAACATTCGCCAACCAAATTTTAACGCAAAAGTAAGCAGATATGCAAAGTTAAAGTTGTAAATTCAGGGCTCAAAGGCTTGCAAGATTAATGACCCCCATTATTAAATTATACCAAGCTCCTAGCTACTACACGGATCAAATATATTACATCTGAGCAATGCAGAGGCAGTGGAGATTCTGCTCAAAGAGCTTCTTCGCTGGGCCAACTCCTCTCCCAACATTAAAGCTATCTTGATGTCTATTTCAATGTCTACTTAAAAAACAAAGAGGAAAAATGCTGGTGTTATGGCAGTAAATACAAAAGAAAGCTATATGATTCTATAGATGGAAATGACTTCTCCTCATCTTTTTATGCAACAGAAGCATTCTTATTAGATCAAGATGAATTTACTTTGAAAGTAAGAAAGCTGGAGTTTCAAAGCTCTGCTGCTGCGTGGGCCTGTGCTTAATGTTAATATTCATCATTTGGTGTTCCTGAATTAAAAACAAACAAACAAACAACAACAGAAAACTCCCAACCCTAAATTACCTACATTTCAGAGGTCACAAAGCCTGGTCTTATATTGCCCCGTATAAATCACTGGAATTTAAATTCAAGAAGGGGAGTGAGAGAGGGTTGAAAGATGGCTCAGCAGTTAAGAGCACTGACTGCTCTTCCAGAGGTCCTGAGTTCAATTCCCAGCACCCATATGGCAGCTCACAACTGTTTAACTCCAAGATCTGACACCCTCACACAGACATGCATGCAGGCAAAACACCAATGGACATAAAATAAAAAAAAATTTAAATTCAAAAAGGGGAAGGCTGAGGATGTAGCTTAGCATGTAAGAGACCCATGTTCAATTTTTAAAACTAAAACAAGCTAAGTAAATGTCAATCACTTTGAGAAACTGACAATGAAGATAAAATTCTTGGGGTGGTGGGGTAAGCTGTAGACAAGGCTCAGCGGTTTAGACCACTTGCTGCTTTTGCAGAGGACCCAGGTTCTACTCCCAGCACTCACATGGCAGCTCACAACTGTATGTAACTCCAGGGTATCCTATGCTCTCTTCTGGCCCCCCTGGACAGTGCATGCACATGGTACACAGATGTATATGCAAGCAAAACACTCATATGCATAAAAAATAAAAATTAAAAAAATTGTTGGGCTGGTGATCTAAGCTTGGTGGTTGAAGGAACTTGCTGTCAAGTCTAATGATTGGATTTCTAGCCCAGGAACTAACTGAGTGAGAGAACTAACTCATAAAAGTTGTCCTCAGACCTCTATATCCATGTCTTGGTACAGGAGTTGCATCCCATCCTATCCCCACTCCTGCCAAACAAAATAAATATAATTTTTTAAATATTAAAAAAAAAAATTCCGGACTGGAGAGATGGTCCAGTGGTTAAGAGCACTTGACTGCTCTTCTAGAGGTCCTGAGTTCAATTCCCAGCAACCACATGGTGGCTCACAACCATCTGTAATGGGATCTGGTGCCCTCTTCTGGTGTGTCTGAAGACAGCTACAGTGTATTCACATACATAAAATATATAAACCTTAAAAAAAAATTTTTCTTTAAAAAAAAAAAATTCCAAACGGTTGTGGTTGTATGCCTTTAATCCCAGCACTCAGGAGGCAAAGGCAGGCGACTCTCAGAATTTAAGGCCAGCCTTGTCTACAGAGTGAGTTTTGGGATAGCCAGAGCTACACAGAGAGACCCTGTCTCCAAGAAACAAAACCGAACTAACCAACCAACAACAACAAATCCCATAAAACATCATGGGCCTGTGAGATACCACAGCAAGTAAGTGTGCCTGTTGTCAAGTCTGATAACCTGAGTTTAATCCCCAGAATCCATATGGTGAAAGGAGAGGACTGATTCCTGTAAGTAGTCCCCCAACCTCCACACGCATGCTATAGTAGGCACACATACACACACAGTAATAAACAGATAAATATACAATTACTTTTTTTAAAGATCAAATTCTTTCATGGGGCAAACACTTTAAAACTTGCCTTTTGCTGCTTCGGGGCTGTGAGTATCGCTCAGTGGCAGAGTGTTGATTGACTGAGTCTGACCTCTATAAAATCAAAAGCTCATCACTTAAACCTGTAAGTCAGTCTCTGTCTCTGTCTCTGTCTCTCTGTCTCTCTCTCTCTCTCTCTCTCTCTCTCTCTCTCTCTCTCTTTTTCTCCTATTTGCAGGAAGTTAGGTGGGTTGGTATCTCCTATATTGTTTAGGCTAGTCTCAAACTCCTAGGCTCAAGCAATTCTCCTGCCTCAAACTCTCAAGGAGCTAGGCCTACTTAGCCACTTGAAAAGTTAAAAGCAGTCTCTTTCTGGATAGTACAAAACTCCTTTCTGTACATTCAATGAAAAATCAGACCAAATGTTCTGAATAGGCTTTAATAAAACAAATGGTTTCCTTTTTTATACTTTTCTTTCTTCTTTCTTTCTACCATCTGTGTAAAATAGATTCCGACTACACATAGTCACTAACTAGAAATCGAGGATTTAAAACTATAAACAAAAATCCATAAAAGGCCAGACAAGCGAGGACGGGCACAACAGTGGGTGGTGAGATCATTCTTAAACCTGACACCTAACAGCAGACAAAGGTGCTATCATTATAGATGAGCACCTATAAATCAATCAGAAAAAGACCAAAACACCATAAAAAGGGGCAAGTCATGAACCGCCATTGCAGAGGAAAAATGAGCAGACGGCCAGAATCTTAGTCCCATAGCAAAGCTACGTAATTTTTTTTAAAGCCTATTTCTTTTTAAAAAACAGGTCAGCAAAACTTTAAAAGACTGATCATATCTATTGACGCACAAAGCAAGTATTCTCACATACTGCTGCTGGAAGTTAGATTGGAACACACTTCTAGAGGGCATTTATGTAATGTTTGAAGACAATTTTACATATATGAAATTTATTGAGCTCTGGAGACGAGAGTCCCATGGTGTAGCTCTGGCTGGCCTGGAATGTAGACCAAGTGGGCAGGTCTTAAGCTCAGAGAGATAGAGTCTGCCTTCCAAGTGTTGGGGTCAAAGACATGTGTCACCAAGCCTGCGTCCTGGTTTGGAGACAGAATCTCATATCATGCAAGCTGGCCTTCAACTCAAGCTTGCTATATAACAGAGGCTGGCTTTGAACTCCTAATACTCCTGCCTCTGGGATTGCACACATATACCACCACTCTTCATTTACATGCTGCTAAAGATAAACCCAGGGTTCGGTGCATGCTAGGCAAGGACTCTATTGAAAGGCATTTCCTGTCCCCTCCTAGACAAAAAAATTTTGGGGGGGTGGGAGGAGTGTTCAAAACAGGGTTTTTCAGTGTAGCCCTGGCTGTCTTGGAACTTACTCTGTAGACCAGGCTGGCCTAGAATTCACAGAGATCTACTTGCCTCTGCCTCCCAGGTACTAAAATTAAAGGTATGCACTACCATGCCTAGCCCTTCATAGACATTTTTTTAAAAACTTTATTTCTATTTATATGAGTACACTGTAGCTGTCTTCAGACACACCAGAAGAGGGCAGTAGATCCCATTACAGATGATTGTGAGCCACCATGTGGCTGCTCACATTTGAATTCGGGACCTCTGGAAGAGCAGTCAGTGCTCTGAACTGCTAAGCCATAAGTTAGTCCCCTCCTATATCCAACCACTACCTGAAGTGTAAACCTCATAATCTCTGACTAAAACAATCACTTATTAATAGACATCTCTTTCTCGTTGTTTCTAGACTTACTCACTCTACAGACTTGACTTGCCTGGAATTTGCAATGTAGACCAGGCTGGCATTAAACTCACAGAGACTCATCTACATCGACCTCTCGAGTGCTGGGATTAAAGGTGTGTGCCATCACACTGGGCACTCATCAATCTGTTCACTACATAGCTACCAAATGTTCCATCAAAACATAAACCCCGCCGGGCGGTGGTGGCGCACGCCTTTAATCCCAGCACTCGGGAGGCAGAGGCAGGCGGATTTCTGAGTTCGAGGCCAGCCTGGTCTACAGAGTGAGTTCCAGGACAGCCCGGGCTATACAGAGAAACCCTGTCTCGAAAAAACCAAAACAAAAAAAAAAAAAAAAAAAAAAAAAAAAAAAAAACATAAACCCCTCACTGGCTCAGCACATCCACCAGCTAATGCTAAGGCCTTTCATGATCTGCGCCCTAAGAACTTTCATCTTCAACTCTTCCATTGTGTTTTTATATGCACTCAATTTAACTGAATTGCATTTAGCTACACTTGACACTTTAGAGTAGATTCTCATTGGTTTGGTTTTGTTTTGTTTTAAGACATGGTCTATCTGTTTAGTCCTGGCTCTCCTGGAACTGGGTAAGTGGATCAGGCTGGCCTTAGAATTACGAGTGATTCCTATCTCTGTTTCCCAGTGGTAGGATTAAAAAGGTGTTTCACAACGCCTGGCCAGATTCCTTTATTTTTAATTTATGTGTATGTGTGAGCCTTTGTAAGTGAGTATATGTGTGCCACATGTATGCAGGAACCCTCCCTCAGATCAGAAAAGGGCAATGGATCCTCCGGAATGGGGATGAGCTATGGATGCTGAAAAGTAAACAGGTCCAAATCAAGAACAGTAAGCATCCCACTGCAGAGCCACCTCTCCAACTCTATCTTCCACTATTCTTTTCTTCCTTCTGAATGTTGGGAGTCTACAGGCAGCAACAAGATTCATAAATACTATCCCATCCTCTCCGAGTAATTTTCAGTACAAACATATTTCAGAAAGAAAGGAAAACACATTTGAAACACTAAATTGTCTATATAAGATCCAACAGGTAACTTTTGCAAGATTGTCTCACTTGTCATGTGATTGGTCCATTCTTTTGATTCTAGCATAATTCAAACTTGAACCAAGAAATGTGGTTCTTGTTAACTGGACCATGTGATTAAATTTATTTGTATTGATATCTTGAAGTTAATGGTTTCTTTATGGTTTAAAGTTAAGTGTGTCTATATCACTTCAACAGCTGAAATACTGTAATGAATGCATTTGTACATAATAACATTCCATGTGTTAATGAGCTCAATTCCATTTCCCCTCCATAGTTCTATAGAGTTTCTTTCTGTTTCATAAAGGTTAGGAAGAAAATAAACTGTACATAAGAGAAGGAGGTAGTATGGCTTACTGAAAAAGTTCAGATAAAGTTGTTTTATCTTGTAAACAAAACTAGAATTTAATGAAAGTTAATGCCTGTCCACCACATACCTCACTAGACAGTGAGGGACAAGAACAAAGTGCTGGGCCAGGCCGCTCAGATACCTAGGCTTCCAGCCTGGCTCTACCCTCCATCCCAGTCTGCTTCACTCTTCACCAGGAGGCAGGAAACTATATGGTAAAGCTCTTGCCTCACATGTGTGAGGCTTTAGGTTCAGTCCCCTGCCGTGAAAACAAAAACAACAGGAAGTAGTCTGCACATTCCATAAGTATAGAAATAATGTAAAAGGACTGTGACTTTGGAAAAAAAAACCAGTCATCTCTTCTAACCTTTAATCTTGTCACCAGGAAAACAAGCTTGTATAAGTCTTGGCTTCCAGAAGACACTTCATGGAGTATCTTCTGAGATAGTCTATTGAACACTTTGCTAAACAAAGAGGTAGCCTACCCTAAATATTCTCTTACTACTAAGCAGTAGTCCAAGAGAAACTGGTAACATCGTTATAGTAAGTCCTGGTTTCCCGAATGTAAGCAGTGCCTCACTTTACAGCCCTTGGTGGTTTGGAGCTCACAGGGACCTAACTGCCTGCCTAGTAGTAAAGGTGTGCACTACCACACCCAGCCCAGATACAGACTTTAAAAGCTAGAGATTACCTTTATTTGTAAGATTCCTAAATTTGACACCGGAAAAAACAGTTAGAGCACCCGCCTCCATATGAACCACATATGTTGTCTGTGAATCACTTTCATCTCTAAATTGGCAGAAGCCAAATAAGTAGGGCTTTCCTTCAGTGAAATCTGTTCAAGCAAACATCTGCTGGTTCCTTGAAAAATGATCCACACCCTTCTGCCCCCACACAGGTGGCCTTTGAATTTGTGACCCAAAACCTTTGAGACTGAGATAGTACCCTTGAGAGTTTGAGTTAGACAGGAGAAAGCATGCAGGAAGGGGTCAACTCTGGGGCATGTATGTGGATCTAGAGAGTGAAGATGATTGCTTCATCACCACCAGGATGGAAAGGGTGCCTTCTCCTCTTACTAATACTCTCCATCAAAGCATAAAAGGAGCATATGCTTTACTGAACCACTGCCCATTTTCTGTTTTCTCAATTACTCCTTTTTCAAGGGAGGCATAAAATACAATCCTAAAGCCATAGATTCTGTCTCTAGCTTTACCTGTGAAGGTACCAATGACCTTGGAGAATCACTGAGAGCAGAAGCTGCTCTAGTGCCTGCATCTGACAGTTAACAAGCCCCATGTTCCATCCTTGTGACTACTCAGCAGACACTAATGAGTCATCAAATGATTAAGCTCACTGTGCTCTACTGGCCTGACCAGCATACACATTTCAAAACCCATATCCCAACCCAAATGACAAGCAAACCATTCCTAGCTTTGATCTGAAGTTGCATTAAAAATGTGATTGAGGTAGGAAATCCAAGGGTCATGAAACTCTCTGGCTGAAACTCTACCTGACCTTATAAGATGGGACAAAGACACAATACTCAAAGATGTTCCTCTCCCACCACCCCTGGTCTGATGTCTATGCGAAAATGAATGATTTTAGGCTAATGAGACAGCATCACTGGGCCCAGCAGGCTCAGCAGACCAAGATCCTGCAGTCTAGCCACATGCACAAAATATGCCCACCAGGGCCTCACCAGGAGCGTGGTTTCCAAGAATGTAATCTCTGGGAAGATGAGTTTCGATGGAGGATCTGGGTCTTACTGACCTAACGGCCTCATTTGATCATAATTAGAGACCATAAATTCACTTTTCCTGACTAATAAAATGAAGCTGATGTGATGAATTTAATGAGCCACATGTGCATAATGAGATTACACAGAAAATTCATCTTTTTAAATGAATTCACTTAGAATGAATTCTAAGTCATTAGAATGATATGCTTGTCACATAGTACACAATACACATGCACATATACAAAATATACAGATGTTGAGGCAGCAACAATAGATGCCCAAGTCTCATGACATCTTATTTTTGGGGACAAGCTGTTCTGAAGTCCCGAAAATTCAAAGAAATGGAAAACTGTATCCGACAGTTAACGCTGAGGAAGAGCACATTTCCCTTTCTTTGCACCTACCTTGGCCTGGACAGCATATGACGCCAAGAGCACAGACGCCTCAGGAGGGCAGTAGACCTTCTCATCCAAAATCTGCTTCTTCACCTGAAAGGGGCAAGGAGGGAGATAGGCAATGGCATGGGTGGACACAACAGATGGCTGGAGTGTATTCTAAATGAGGGCTGCAAAGCAGCCTGTTTATGATTTTTTGACAAAGGGAACCTTTTTTTTTTTTTTTTTAAATTTTGCAGACCAGTTGAGAGTTCAGCCACTAAGAAGCTATCAGTAAGACAGCTGCACAAACATCAATAAGATCTGCGTGCCAGGCAGTATCAGTGCACTTTAATCCCAGCACTGGGGAGGCAGAGGCAGGTGGATCTTTGAGTTCAAGGCCAGCCTGGTCTTCAAGGTAAGTTCCAGGACAGCCAGGGCTACACAAAGAAACACTGTCTTGAAAAAACAACCAACCAACTAACCAACCAAACAACAACAAAAACCTCCTCCCATACCCCAAGAAAAAGATGTGCTTGGTTACAGCAGAGACTGACAAGGTGGCTATGACAAGAGCTGAGGCTCACTGCACTTTCTGTCTCAGTGTTGGCCAGGTGGCACACTCACAGAACTGCAGGAGATAGAGTATACTTTGAAATCTTCATACAAGACAAAAGTCACCAAGGCCACTGAATTACGACTGTAGAAAAAAGTCATCACTTCCAATGTGCTGCTCTAAGGAAAAAGGAAGCAATAAAATTGGATCGATTCAACTTTTAAGTACACATGAGGCTCAGGAAATATAATTCCTAAGCCATAATGTTGAATTAACATATCTCATTACACCTAATTTCTTAGGGTGGTGCAGTGTGATGTTCCAGACACAAGGACAAGAAAGCCGCATGAAGTAGGGGTACACTAACAAAGCCAATTGTCTTTTCAGATCCACAGTAGTAAATGTTGCCTTCCTTTGTCACAAAAACAATCTAACATTTCAATACGAAGGAAAATCAAGCCAAAGTCACAGGAGGGACAGGTGCTGCAACAAGAACTTACAGAAAAGCCATTTCTATAACACTACGGTAGTCTGAGCTTATGGAGCTTAAGCTTGTCTTGAGTTCTCTATGTAACCCTGAATTTCTGATTCTCCTGTGGATTACAAAAGCACAGTATGTTCTCTTTATACAGTGCTGGGGTTGGAACCCCAGGCTTCATGAATACAAGGAAAGCATTTTATCAACTGAGCTACAGCCCAACCCCCAAAGAATCTTCATGTGGCTTCAGTCACACATACAATTTTCCCCAGGCTTTAAAGCCAAGAAAAAATAAAAGCTGAGCTCTTCTGAAGCAATGAAACCTTCAAATCTCCTAGTTTCTTTACAAAGAGATAAAAAGGCAGCCATAACAAAAAACAATCTGAAAGGGCTATGTTTTAACCTAACACACACACACAGATCTCTTTGGTGAAAGAAACTATTTGGCCAGGCATGGGGGCACACATACTATAATTCCAGCACTTGAGAAGCTGAGGGAAAAGGATCTTAATCTCAAGGGCAGATTTGACTATGTAGTGAGATTCTCTTCTCCAACAAAACAATATAACATGATTTGGAGGGTAATATTACATTTCATATACTGTATCATGAACACAATAAATGGAGATTCCATAGTACAAGGATTGTGTAAAAATCAGAGATATACTTCTGGGAAATCAATGTAATTAATGGCCCATTACAATCTTTTACATCATCGACAGGGGACATCTTAAGGCACATAAGCAGCTTGGGCATCAGTCACTACAGATAGCTATGAAACTGAGAGGCCCTCTGGCTATGACAAAGCAAGGTTTCCATCCTTAAATAAACCATCTCACTGTGCTCCTAGATGGTCAACCGGTAATTCTGGAACATCTAATTTCTTTAGTTTGGTTGAACAATAACTTACTTAAGAATACCAACTGCATATTCAGTGAGCCTATCTTTAAGGGGCTGGCACTCTAATAAAGGAAGAAATGAAATATATACCCAGAGTAGCACAGAGCAGGCTGTCTGAAACACCTTAGGTGTGGGACAGACTGAGTCACTGCCATTCAGAAGTCCTGCCTCAGTGACCCAGATCTTGAACTTTAAAGGAACTTTAAGCTAAACCTCTGAGGCTTTTCTTTATAATGTCAGAGAACTTTTAAGTTAGCCAGAAGAAATAGGGATCCATCTTCATAGAGGATTTATACTGGGTAACTCTGTCTATTCTTCATCATCACACCTCTGCAATTCCATCTGACACCAATTCTCATTGCTAGGGCAAAGTTCTATTCTGAAGACTTTTTTCCATTACTGAACCAAAGGACTATTTGGAGCCAGAACATTTTCTGCAGTATGGATGTGTTTGCAGTCAACTCCAAGGGGTTCACCTGGTCTGCTTCTGAAACCATACACAGATTGGTCCTCTTAGAATGGTGGGGGTTGGGAGGGGGAGATAGCATGGGCTAGTGTACCTGTAAGAAAAATAAGTGTTGCGTGATCTCTTGAACTAGCTCCTCCTCAGCATTTTCAGGATAAAATTTGGCCAGGAAGTGAAAGGTAACTGGTTCTTCCTTCGAAACATCATGATCCAACACCTGCAGAATTGCAGAGCAAAAGACATGCTGTGCTGGCCCGTCTTCTTCATGTACGACCTTCAAAGCATGCTTTGCAGGGAAGGCAGAAAATCCCTTCCTGTTACATTCCTCCCATTTCCTAAAAGTTGTGTTTCTACAGTTTGAAGCATTCACAGAGCCATCTGTAGCAGGACATAATATCCACTTCACACAGGGGTTCTGAACCAAATCAATCAATAACCCACAGGGAGAGCGGAGCCATGGTGACAGCACCAGGATTCTCAAAGCCACAGAAAATAGTCACAATCGAGGCCAGCCTGGTCTACAGAGTGAGTTTCAGGACAGCCAGGGCTACACAGAGAAACCCTGTCTCAAAAAACCAAAAAAAAAAAAAAAGAAAGAAAGAAAGAAAAGAAAAGAAAAAAAAAGAAAATAGTTACAAACTAGAATCTATAACTCTAAGATCTTGGGTATCATTGTTTATGAAAGATTGAAGATTTAAAAATTTTCTTTTTGAAATAACAATATCTACCTTTATTCTTTTTTTTCTTACTGCCCTCTCTAATAGGTTCCACTGAAATACAGCTTAAACATAATACACTAGATTTCTGTGAGATCATTTACATGTTATGAATACCAGGAGTGAAACATATCCATCATGGCAATGCTTTGTTCCTGGAATCTTCCAGAGATATCTGCAAAATGCTTGCAGTGCAGTAAGTAAACCACCGCCTTTAATCTTCTAACAATCCCACCCACCTCCTGAAAAGCCTGGACCATCTGGTCTCCAGAGTGAATTCCATTTCAGGACATAAACATGCTACCAGGCTCCATTAACATGTGTCATAATTTATTTCCTTTGAGCAGCAGGTTCTATGACTCCTGATGCCCCCAATCTAATATCCATTTGGCTAACACTCAGGTATGATTTAAAATTCACTTTGCTGAGAATCATAAAAAGATACAGAAAGCTTTGCTGTCTCTGATATATAACTCTCCACATGCCTGCCCAAATTCCAGTGGCAGTCCCCAAGGGATTTAAAATAAACCTAATCTAGGTTGCCCTCCTAGACACTGGCTCTTTGTGACACTGATTTTCTAATCATTGGAGTAACCATTTGAGACTGACAACCAACAGGAGTTCTAATCATGAAGGCGTTCACCGTGTACACGCTGTGAACACAATCTGAATACCTCATTTAATAGTAGTAAAACAAGAGACTTTTGTTGGTCATCATATTATGCAGCAGATAACTCCAGGGGTAATACCCATTGGTAGGGGTAACACTTAGGGTCAGAGTTAGACATGGACTGACTTTGGGAATCAGGGGTCCTTGGGCCCTGTTCTCCAGCCATCTTCACTGTTGGGTGAACAGGAAAATGGATGGGCATGTTTTTGTGTGAGTGAGGATATGAACCCCTTAGAGGGCATCTTCCTTAAGTCATATCCATTTCCAAATCACCTTCAAATTGCTAGAAACCTAGATTCCATGTGCTGAAGAAGCGGCAGAGAACCCTGAGGAGGAAAGGCCATTGCTCCTTTATCTTGGGCTCTTTATTCCTTATTAATGGTTAAGTCAGTTGGATTCTCATATTCTCAAAGACTTGTTAAAAAACAAAAACCAACTCTAAAGCATAGGAGCCCTAGGAAAATCTCTCACAGACATAAATTGTTATTGCTGTTGTTTTGAAGTATACAAAGATAGTGGTAATGTCCTGGTGAACCCTGCTCGTCTGAGTCTGTGGAGGCTTGAATTGCCTTATAGAACCTGTTTTTTATACACATGACTTTGTTTAAAAAATTGTTCCCTCTTTTGCCATGTCCTTGTCACACCACAACAATGAGCAAATAAACTAAGTGCATGGTCAGAAAAACAAACAAACAAAAACAAAATCCAGAAAGCACAAGCCTCCCCCACTGGTTTCCCCAAGATCTAGCCCAACCTTCTTGTCCATTTTGAGCCAGGCCACTGTGTCCTTGATTGTATACTGTAGTCCAAAGAACCAGGTTTCGCGAAGCCCCAGCGTCCGGCACACCAAATCAAACAGGTCCTTCCCTTTCCATTTCATCTGTAATATAACAAACCAACAGGGAGGGAGGGATGTTGTGAGCAAGAATCATAATCAGCTCACACACACAACTGTTCTCAGCACTTTCCTCTGTCACCAAAAAGGCTGATGAACACTGAATTCTCAAATAATTTTAATGCTTCCCACACAAAACCATGAGTGGGAAAATAACAATTAGAGCTTAATGGCTTAATTGCTGCGGAGCACACACAATATCTCCTTGGACAGTTCAATATCCCTGAAGCATCTAATTTAGGAAACCTGGTAAATAAGCAGCCTCATTTAGGAGAGTCAAGCCTCCAGAATTAGCCCAGGAAGATGACTAGCTTGTGAGACACTAACTCCTTTGAGATTTTTTTGTTGATTTTGTTTTAAATTGTGACTCTGTCTTTTGATAAAAGGTAAGTATTCTCTTAACTTATAAAACTAGTATTACTAAGAAAAAAATTAAATATATGGAAACTGTCCCCAAAGTCACAAACTGTAGAACAGAAGAACAATGAGACTCCATAGGCTAACTGCAGATCTCTATCAGAAGGCTTGGTTAGACCCAAGCAATTGCTCATGTCACAAAGAACAATTCTAAATGTTCAGTGTCAAAACCCACACAATGAAAAGACACAAATATACTATGGTATGTCTATTCCATAGCCGCACTTTCAAAAGGACTTGAAGAATCACTGCTAAACCTTTTCTCTGCTACTCAATGGTGTAGCTGGAAAAAGCAAGCTCAAACATCTTCATAGGGTAAGAGGATGCAGGGCAGCTGAGTAAATGTTGCCACCTAGTGGCTTTAAGTTAACTAGGTTTTTTCCTATATTACTTCTTAGCTACTGTTTGCTGGCTACCCACTCCAACTACCCCACGCATCAGATAAACATTCAACAACATTGAGTACAGTTATGATCATATGAAACACACGCATGACCCACCAAGATCCAAATGTAAGGGAATGATAAAATCACCTGACTGCAAAAGCATCTGCTTCTTTCCCATCCCCATTAGAAAACCTCTACCCACCAGGGATATAGCTCAATCAGTAAAGCGCTTGTCACACTGGCATGAGAGCCCGAGTTTGATACCAACACTTACGTAGAAAGTTGGTTGTGGTGGCCCATGCTTGTAATCCCAGCACTGAAGGAGTGAGTACAGTGGGATACAGAGTAGAGCTCACTTGCCTAATAAACGAACTCCAGGCATCTAGCTTAAATAGGGGAGGGGTCCACGAAATTGCTGAGTAAGGGCTCTTTTTTTTTTTTTTTAAAGATTTATTTATTTATTATATATGAATACACTGTAGCTGTCTTCAGACACACCAGAAGAGGGCATCAGATCTCATTACAGATGGTTGTGAGCCACCATGTGGTTGATGGGATTTGAACTCAGGACCTCTGGAAGTGTAGTCAGTGCTCTTAACCACTGAGCCATCTCTCCAGCCCTGAGTAAGGGCTCTTGAGTCAAGTCTGAACACCTTCAACCGGAGTTCAATCCTTGAGTCCCATAGGTAGAGGAAGAGAACTGACTGCCCAGATTGCCCTCTGACCCACATACTATGGCACACTCAAACAGAGGAAGAAAAAAAAAAAGAAAGGAAGAAAGGAAGGAAGGAAGGAAGGAAGGAAGGAAGGAAGGAGTAAAATTAGAAGCACAAACAAGGTGAACAGCTCCTGAGGAAGCAGAGGTTGACCTTGATGCTTTTGTAGGGTGTATGTCATGTATGAGGAGCTCAGAGGACATAATGGTGGAAGTGGTTCTCTCCTTAGACCTTTCTATGGCTCTGGAGAGTAAATTTGGCTTGTATAGTAAGAACCCACCAGCCATCCTGCCTACCCCCTTAGCACCTCAGCCCATCCCCAAGTGCTAGAGATCAAACACATGTTAGACAAGTATCCTACTACTGAGCCACACTCCCAGTTCCAGTCTATTTTTAATAGATGTGAATGAACAGTCCTTTGCATGTAACTCAACAGGAGAGGCCATCTCTCTGTTTGCAGCCAGAATCAGCAACCCAAATGGTAGGTCATCAGGACCTCAGCACGTAACATACTGACTTTGGTCCTTTGCCAAACAAGGCATTTATCCTGTCTATCCTGTAATCTTAGCCCCACCCCTCTCTGACTATAATAAGGTCCCTGGGATACTTTAATGATATAAATCTTTAGAATAGGGAAAAGTAAATGAACTGCACTCCCCTTTTTACAGTGCTGGGTGATAGACACACCCATCTGACAACTGGACAGAGAGGTTTTTAATCCTTGGAAGGTCTTAATTCCTACAAGTAGATTTAACTGAAGAAATGTTATTTTGGAAAACTGGAAGCTTCAGGATGCTGATTATCCTCTTGTCTCTATTTAAAGCAGGACACAGTATATAAATTATAAATGCCTACCTTGCCACAAGATAATGTCCCGCTAAAGAACAAGGATTAACTCGAAGATGTTAAATATCCAAGGGTCAAGAGGATCAGGATATTACTTCCAATCTACCATAACTCAGAGCCATGACCAGGCCAGGCCTTGGCATAAAGGGCTCCCAACAACAAGCAGGATGAGCAGAGGGAGGACTATAAGGAAAGCTTCCAAGGGGACAGTGAATGAGACTGCATTCTGGAGAGCTGCAAACCTTAACATGATACTGTATTAATTCAGAGTTCCTATATGCTCCTCTACTTCTTTGTTTTTAAAAATGCAGACCTATTTTTGTTAAAAGCAAAAAGACAATGTCTTTGCCCCCATGGAGCTTGCAATAAAGCAAGGAGGAACAATTCTCAGAACAATTCAGAATGCCCTACTTACATTTTTTTCCTACTTATATTTTAACATTGGTGCAAAGAATCACAGGCTATCAGAACTGGAAATGAGCCTCAGTCCTCACCCACTGTGAGTCCATGCTCTTAGTGTAAAACTGAGTAAACTGAGTCACAAATTATTTGGTCCCTCTTTTCATGGTGATCTAAGGTAGGCAAACCTTTAATCTCACAAACACCCTTTTCCAGTCTGTGATCATCAAATCTTTTGTCCCTACCTGGGCCAGTAAATGAACAATACTGAAACAGAACCCCTTCCCAGAAGAGTTTTATAGCTCATTTACTGCTCTGTGAGATTAGAGTCCATTTTTCCTTTTTTTTTTTTTTTTTTTTTTTTTTTTTTTTTTTTTTTT